GAGTGGCCTATGGCTCCTACAGGTACCCTAACTAATCATCATATTAAGTTTTGTTTCGTGTACTCGCAACCTTAAAGAAAAAGAAGAAAAACTGAGATAAGTCCTAGGTAACGAATTACCAAGGACACGAAAATTCAAAGTTTCTCTCAAATTCTCTCGGGCATGGTCGTCTCATAACGGACCACCCTCAAGCGCAAAACCCAACATCCAATGACTAGTTCCACTTCGGGTAAGGTCCATCAACTCAAATCATCACGACGAGTAAAACGGCCCAAGCAATTATCGCATATTTAATTTTTCGGGGTTGGTCGCCCTCCAAATTGACCATGAAAGGCATATTTAATTTTTCGTGGTCGGCCGCCCTCCAATTTGGCTATGCACCGTATATGTAATTTTTCGGGGTTGGTCGTCCTCCAAGTTGACCATGTAATGCATATTTAATTTTTCAAGGCCGGTCGCCCTCCAAATTGACCATATGTAATGCATATTTAATTTTTTAAGATTGGTCGCCCTCCAAGTTGACCATGTAATGCATATTTAATTTTTCGTAGTCGTCGCCCTCCAATTTGGTTGTGTAATGCATATTTAATTTTTCGGGGTTGGTCGCCCTCCAAGTTGATCGTGCACTCGCATATTTAATTTTTTAGGGTTGGTCGCCCTCCAAGTTGACCATGTAAGGCATATTTAATTTTTCGGGGCTAGCCGCCCTCCAATTTGGTCGTGTATCGCATATTTAATTTTTCGTAGTCGGCCGCCCTCTAAGTTGGTCGTGCATTGCATATTTAATTTTTCGGGGTTAGTCGCCCTCCAAGTTGACCATGTAAGGCATATTTAATTTTTCGGGGTTGGTCGTCCTCCAAGTTGACTATGTAATGCATATTTAATTTTTCGTAGTCGGTCGCCCTTTAATTTGGTCGTGTACTCGCATATTTAATTTTTCGGGGTTGGTCGCCCTCCAAGTTGACGTGTAATGCATATTTAATTTTTTAGGATTGGCCATCCTTCAAGTTGGTCGTGTCATCGCATATTTAATTTTTCGGGGTTGGTCGCCCTCCTAGTTGACCATGTAATGCACATTTAATTTTTTAGGGTTGGCCGTCCGTCAAGTTGACCTTGTAATGCATATCTAATTTTTCGAAGCTGGTCGCCCTCTAAGTTGACCATGTAATGCATGTTCAATTTTTCGGGGTCGACCACCCTCTAAATTTCTCTTGTATTGCACATTTAATTTTCAAAGTAGGCCATCCTTAACAACAAGGTCGTTGCATTCTGTTTTCATGAGTCATTGCATTCCCGCATGACATTCCATCCTCAACTAGGTCATTTTAGTAGGTGTTAATTTATTTTCCTCATATTTTCTTCTTTGCAAGCTCACTAAACAAACTTAACTTGAAATTTATATTTCAATTAATGTTTGCACCGTAAGCATTACAAAGAGAGGCCAACTGTCATAACCAAAATTTCAAAATTTTTTATTTTAATTAGCTATTTGTTTTCTTTTATTTCATTTGTTTTTATTATCTTGATTTGTGTTATTAGTTTTCTTTATTCCATTTCACTTAATAATTTGCAATATATATATATATATATATATACAAAAAGACAAAAAAAAATGTGAATTTAATATTCGGGGATGCAATTGTATTAAATTCAAAATAATTACGATCATTGAGGACACAATTGAATCATTCGGAGTTCAAGGACTAGATTACATTGTACAAGGACTAAGTTGAGCTAGTAATAATTTTCAAGGACCAAAATTACAAAATTACAAAAAATCAAAAAAATGAAAGAAAAAATTGTAAACTTGCACAGGAGTGGATAACCGGTCCCACTCCTACCCGGAACTAGTTTACGGGATCTTGTCCTCCCGCTTCATGGAATCGGCTTTGGTTTCAATTGCGGGAATCGGTTTGGTTCCCAATTACCGTTCCAAATTCCAGCGACGAATTCCCTCAACTTGCAGCAATCAATGCCCTCAACTTGCAGTGCCATTTCTCCCCTTCATGGTCAACAATTTCGGCACCTCCCTCTACCTGCCCGCGACCACCCTACCGCTGCAAATCCCAGCAGCTCCATCATCACCCAACTCCCCGCTCGCCGGCCCTGCACTGACCTAGAATTTCCTCCCTCACCGAGTCAATCCCTAGCAGTTTCACCACTGCACGGCCCACAACCACAATCCCATCAACCCCACTCCATATCTTGCAAAAAAATCTCACACCATCATGGTGGAGAACCAAGCCACATTCACACACACATATATATATACGGACAACGAAGCATAAAAAGGGAGGAGAGGAGAAGAAAAATTCGAGTCCGAAAATCAAAAGAGGGTAGTAAGTAAAACAATTAAGAGCCTTAAATTTTTTTTAAAAAAAAGAGAAAATCAATAGCCAAAAAAAAATCCGAGAAGAGGGAAAGAGATTACCCCAATTGAAGTCGTAATTCATACCCGTTTTCATCAACCCTTCCAGGTAATACCATTTAATTTCTTATTGATTTCGGTTTTGATAGAAGTTAGGTTTGTGTTTTGAAATTTAGGGATTTTTGAATTTGGTTACGAATTGAGTTCAAGAATGACAAATTAAACCTAATTGAAGGCAATTGCGGTTTCAATTTGGGGTTTAAACCCCAAATTGAAGCCGAATTGATGTCAATTTAAATCTAGGGTTCTTGATAAAATTTTGAACAAATTGATTTGGGGGTTTTCAAAATTTCGAGTCCTAAAGGGTTTGAATTGACTTGATTTCACTTGAAATCAAGTCAATTAGGTCTAATTGAAAGAAAATTTGGAAGAAAAATCAAAACTCGAGTTCGGCCAATTGGGGATTTTTTTTTTAAAAAAAAATGATTTGGGGCTTTTTGATCTAGAGAGGAATTAAGACGTTTAGGAAGAAAGAAAGGAAAGGAGAAAGGAAGGAAAAAGAAAAAGGAAGGAATTAGGTTGCAATGGACAAACCCGTTCGGTTCGTCCATGGCGAGCTTCGACGAGAGAGAGAAAGAAGAAGAAGAAAAAGGGAAAAGGAAAGAGAGGAGGGAAGGAAGAAGAAAGGAGGGAAATGGAATGGAATGGACGAACCAAGACTGGTTCGTCCACGGAGATAGCGACTTCGGGAGGAAGAAGAAGAAGAAAAAGAAAGAGGGAGAGACGGGATGAGAGAGTGTTTTTTCTTTGATCCGAAATTCGGGAATGGAAAAAGGAAGGGGTTGTTTGTGGGTTGTTTTTTTTAGGTTTAGATTGGGCTTAGCCCATCCCATTTTCGTGCTGAGTCTGGATTGAATCGGCCAGTAGAATTTTTTTTCTTTCCTTTGGGTTGGATTGATACCGACCCAGCTCAAATCATTTTTTTTGGGTCGGATCGATTCCGACTCGACCGAAAACAAAAAATTAAAAAAAAACAAAAAAAAAATGTGTAATAAATTTTACATTTTAATTTTATGCATGTTATTTTAATTTTTTAAAAATGTTAAATGGTCTTTATTTATTTTTATTGTAAATTTAATGTTATGTGTATTTATGCATGTTAGTTAGGATTTGTCATTTTAATATTTTGTAATTGTTTGAGTTTACCCTTGAATTTATTTTATGCACACTTATTATTAATTTAAATTTCGGTATTTGATTTTTTATTCGTGTAGCTTTAATTTATTTGTTTAGAATTAGGCTCGGTAAGTAATAAGTAGAAGATCGTCAAGTCTCTTACATTTTTAGGGACCGATGACAATCTTTCATTAAAAAAAAAAAATAGTACTTATGCAAAAATAAAAAATAAAAAAATAAAGAAAGAAAAATAACAAAAAAAAATCATCGGAAAACTTTTAACAAAGTCTCCTATCCGATAGGGACTCGTTGTTAGCCAAAATTTCATTTTAATAAACAAGTGTTTTCCGACACATCGGTTGTGTCGAGACAAAAAAATGGATTCGATGTTTGAACCGACGGAAGGGGTCCGACGATTGTTTCAATACGATGCTACGCTCAAAAATAAAAAGACTTAATTTGACTTGAAAAATTGGAATCTCAAAAATTGAAAAATAATTTGGCAAAAATAAAATATTTTTGGAGATAATTTAGGACTAAGCTAGATGTGGTACCTTTCTTAGTAAATGGCACTTTTGGGTGATTAATTATCTTTTCATAAGCGTAACCGACTCCTTATCATAGAATCTCCGAACCAAGTGCTAATTTTTGGTTCCTAGTTCCTTCAATACTAGGTGGCGACTCCAAACTCGAAAATAGTTTCGTAAATAAAATAAAGATCCGAAACTAGTGATACCATGAGATATATATATATATATATATAATTTTTTTTTTCGAGGAGTTCCGTCCGACGTCGGGTAGCGACAACTTCCCTTAAAATTTTTTTGGAAAAGGCTTAAGATTTATTTTGTCTTGAAAATCCTTTATTCTAGTCTTCCTAATTAGGAAACTTACTAGAAAAGAGCAGATTCGAGGATTCGTACAATTAGGTCCCCAATCATTTTTGGAGCATTTTGTTGTCAATGGTCAATTCACTCATTCTTTGTGGTTCAAAACGCTTTTGGAGATTTTGGCTTTGATTTCAGTGCTTCTTTTTTGTCAATGAAAGGATTAGGTGGGAATATGGCCGATGCTCCTTTTTCTCGAACAATTTAATGCACCTTTTTCTTTCTTTTTTTCAGGTTTTCAGGACGGGTATGTCCCAGTACAGGGAGAAGTCTAGGACACCTGTATATTGTACGTCGGTACAATGCTGATAGCCATCAAGAACACTAAATTTGAATAAAATAGCAAACTCAATGACTGTTAATGATCACTTACATTGTGTCTGTCGATACTAAAACATAAAAACCACTAGATGTGAATAAAATTATCAAATTCATTGATCGTAATAACAATGGACATTGTGACAATACCAAAGCATAGGCATCTTATCAACCCCAGCATAGAGGACACGTAAAGAGACTAGACAGCATGTTGTTCTAGCCTCTAGGAAAGTCTCGAGTGAAATAACTCATCACGCATTGGCTAGGAAAAGATACTTGTGATGGTGCTTTCGCCACCTGAAAGGACTTGGAGCAACATGCTCTGCTTTCTTTGTGAATGCGATGAGAATGGTTTTGGCATCCCCACCTCTAGTAGTGGAAGTAAAAAGCACCCATTTCTAGTTTGGATTCATCTGCTGTCGAAAGGGTTTGTGGTACCTCAAATGTTCTTGTTGAACATAATCAATGTGGATCCCATGTCAGGGTGGCTCATTTTCTTACATGATTTGCCCTCTCTATTCGTCAAAATCATCATAGTAGCTAGTGCGCAACTGGCACTGAAAATTGATTGCAGAGTTCGTGCTTATCTATCAAAATTCTTTATGGCCTAAACGAACCAAAAGTTCTTTGCACTCCGTCAGGATTTGCCAAAGGAGAACTTGGCAATTGCCAATTGGCATCGTTTGTTTGCCACTATGATTTTGTAGTAAAATATTATCAGCACTACAGCTTATCTCACAGTGCATTGGGAGCGTTCTTTGGTCATATGCTGAGTGAATCGTCAAATCGTCAAAATATTGGTGAGGTAATTTCAATGTTATATTTATGGCCCTCCAATAGTCCATTTATCTGACGGTAGGTTCCCACTGTTAAAACCGATTAAAAACAACCGTTGAGGAGAAAGAGAAGAAAAACTAGTCCAGCTATCAGCTATCAGCCCGCCTCCAACTTGCCAGAGTTGACCGGCAACTTGCATAACACATGCATGTTCAATCCCAGCCTAAAATCAAATGTTTGGTTAAAAATGGAAAAGAGTCAAACTTCAGAAATGGCATAAAATACAACACAAGTTGGTCCTTAGTCTTATCATTAAAAAAAAAAAAAATGTAGCTAAATTTTTTTGTCTGCAATCAATACGTATGGACCAAGAATTTGGGGTGTTCCTTTCTTTTGAGCCTTCTGGTTTGAGGAAATTGTGATGGGACACCATGCAAATACTTTTGCAATCTATATGACTGACCAACCCAAAATCACCAGATATGCAAGGTTCAAAGGAGAATATTCCTGTGCTCAGTGGTATCCTGACAAGATCCACACTCATAGATAGATAAATAAGAAAGAAAGAAAGTCGGAAAACAGAAGGAAAGGAAATTCATTTTCCTCCCCTAACGAGAGCTACTTTCTAGTACATAAAAATGAAGATTCGCAAAGTAGATCCATTGCTTTCTGTGAAAAGCAATGACTCTGACTTTGCAACCAAGCTCTATCAGGAAAATGAACTAGTTGCCAAATGTATGTGCGACTATAGCTCGAGAACTGCTTCCCCGTTAACTGAAGAAACAAGAAATAGGTAATTTAATACGATCAGTATGTGGATATAATATTATGGCGGGAACACTTTGCACTTCCGACAGGAACAAACTGTAGTATAAGAACAGAAAAATTTCAGAAAATGTTTATTTGATTTGATATAGTAGCAGGGCAATGGCATACTTTGGCAGCATAGTAAATGGGGATGACATGTTTATTGATCTCATACGTAGTATGTAAATTCAGAATGGTACAATGCACCGAATGCATAAGCAATTTATTCTTCTTTCCTATGTGAAATGGCCAAGCTAATCAGGTTGTCATATAATATGTCAGCCTTTATTTCCATTAAACTATGGCAGTTTTTGGCCAAAATTTTCAATTCAAGAAATCTGAAATCCATATCAGGCAGCCAAACTTTCAAAGTAAACACAGAACCAAAAGTCAATAGCATTGAAAGGCAAAAACCCGGTGACGTCCAAATAAGACCAGAGCGTAACGAAGCACAAATAAGAAGAAAGCAACGTATGGACCAGAAATGAACAGAATAATTTTTGAACATTCACAAGGAAACTAATGAAGTTCAACAAACCCTGAGGATTTGCATTCAATATATTCTTTTGAGGCTTGGACTTTATTGTTATCAAAGAACTAAAAGTCACTTTTATTTTTATGATTTTCTTCTTGAACTTTTTAGTAGAGTCTTGACCTTTTCAAAAGAATAGACTATTCCTCTCTGCAGCTAAAACTGGCCTACTGTCGTTCTGGTGTGGTCTCTGAAAAGATTCAAGGAAATGTTAACCATCACAAAATAATTGTTACCACAAGGCCCAAAAGATGATCTGCATAGATGTTTATGCTCAGAAGTAAACATTCTCATTCTACATTAATGATGAACCACAATTGCAAAGAAAAAAATTGCAGAAACTTTATTTTGTACATGTCTGAGAATTAACAATTTTCTCTACAAAGAACTAATTTCCAATGTAAAGACTTACAACATAGCTATTTTTCCTTGCCTTGGTTAGATCCCTTTCTCTCCCCACCCAGGAGAGAAGCAAAATCTGAGAACCCATGTATGTGGGTGTTATTTACAGCAGGATCATCACCTCATACAAAAACACCAATGAGAATGGGTTGTGATAAGACTTTATAAATTGTATACAAGGAGAATCTCCAACTGTACAAACCAGAGTCTCCAGCAAATACATAGGAAAGTTAGGCGATGGTGTCGATGTTGTCAAGCCAAGAAACTAACTGCTCTGTTGAGGGCCTTAGTTTTGGGTATTCGCTTAAGCAAAGGCATGCAATCTCGAGAACTCGTAGCATTTCATTATCATTCTGCTTGTCATAAATGAATGGATCAAAAACCTCGCTTTCTCTATTTTCCTTCTTCATCTCAATCACCCAAGAGATCAAATCCCGCGACCCTTTTGGTTTGCACATATCCATGGGCCTTTTCCCAGTAAGAAGCTCCAAAAGAACCACCCCAAAACTATAAACATCCCCCTTGTAGGTAGCAACAGCAGCTTGGCCATATTCAGGAGGAATGTAGCCTAATGTCCCCACGAGATCAGTTGTGACATGGGTATCATAAGGTAGTATGAGCCGTGCAAGACCAAAATCAGCTAAATGAGCTTTAAAATTCTCGTCTAAAAGGATGTTACTAGACTTTATATCCCGGTGAAGGATATGTGGCTCACATGCTTGGTGCAAATATGCAAGACCCCTTGCAGCCCCTTGAGCAATTTGAAGCCTTGTATCCCAGTCTAGTGAGGATGGCCCATCGAGTTTTTCATGCAACCAATAATCCAAACTGCTGTTTTCCATGTAAGAGTATATCAAAAGTTTGTCATTTTTGAACATGCAATAACCTTGGAGATGCACAAGATTTGGATGCTGAGCTCTTGACAGGGCTTCTACTTCAGCACGGAATTCCCTGTCCATCTGACCACAGTCACCAGAGAGACGTTTGATTGCAAGCTTCCTTCCATCAGGGAGGGTAGCTCTGTAAACTAGACCAAAACCCCCACAACCAATTATATTTGCCTGGTCAAAATTGTTGGTGGATTTCAATAGATCCTCCAAGGATAGATCCTTATAGTTCTCCTTATTTTGAAGCAGAACCACTAGCCTTGACCCGAGTTCTATTTCTTTATCAATAGTGTCAGCATCCACATTTTCAGGATCAACCTCTCCTCGGCTATGTGCTCTCAGCACAATCATGATCATGAGGGCAAGAAGGAAAGCCGTGCCAAAAAAATCCCAACAACCATTCCGACAATAACATCTTTGTTTCTTCCTGATTTTCTGGATGTTTCAAGTGGAACTTGGTCAGATTTTGGGCAAGGTGGAGTACCATGGTCACCACAAAGACGATTCCCTTCGAAGCTTGAGTTTGGGAAGGTCATAAACTGACTTCCAGTAGGGATCTTCCCGCGGAGTTGATTGTAGGCAACACTAAACTTGGACAGAAAGCTGAGATTTACCAGGGACAAGGGTATGTCCCCTGTAAGATTGTTATGGGACAAATCCAAAGTCTCCAAGCTCCTCATCCCTGATAATTCACTTGGTATATTTCCGGATAAACGGTTAGACTTCAACTCAAAGACATGGAGCTTCGCCAAATAACCAAACTCTGGCCAAATTGGTCCAGTAAGTAAGTTGTCACTAAGCGCCAAAGTAGGTGGAAAGCTCCACACCTGATTATACTGCAACCCCCTCCCACTTTCATTCCTTCTGAGGAAAAATGGGAAATCCGGTGAAGGCTCCTCAATTGAAATATCCTTGCTGATGAGGCTTGGCAATTTAGTCAAGTTCTTTGGAATCTCGCCAGCAAAGGAGTTGTTTGATAAGTCCAAGTAAAAGAGATTTTCAAAACCACTAAACCAGGAAGGGATGGTTCTACTCAAGTGGTTCCATGACAAATCCACCAACTGCAATTTGGAGCTCCTGCTCAACCACTGGGGTATTGATCCTGTGAGTTGACAGTTAGCAATAACAAGAACCTTTAAGTTCTCAAAATGAAGATCAGGGTCAGCAGGCAATGCTTCACCATGGAAATTCAAGGTGAGGACCAAAGTTGTTAAATTCTTGCATTGCTGCAGGATTCGAAGGGTAGATGAAAGATTGGTAATGCTGCAATTTGAGAAGGAAAGGTAGGAGAGGCCTCGAAAACTCTTGAAGCTTTCTGGGATTTCGCCAGTGAATTTGTTCCGGGCAAGATTAATATTCTTCAAATTCTTACAAGAAGGCAGGTAAGAAGGCACAGGCCCAGTAAAATGATTAGTAGCTAAATCAAGAGATGACAAACTAGTCATGGCAGAACAATTCAGATCAATAATGCCTCCAAATGAATTATTCCTCAAATTAAGCAAATTGAGAGATGGGGAATTAGCCAAGGAGTGGGGTATGCTACCAACAAAATCATTTGAATGGCCTAGGAGAAACTTTAACTTAGACAAGCTATGAAAAACATCTGGAATGGTACCTGAAAAACTATTAGAGGAAATGTCTAAACGTTCAAGGCTAAGGAGTTTACCGATGCCAGTACTCAAATTTCCAGAAAGCTTGTTATCTTGGAGACCCAAAAGCTTCAAATTTTGAAGCTGAAAGATGTCCTCACTTATACCCCCAGTGAGATCATTCATGCCAAGACAGAGGTGCTCCAAGGTAGTGCAATTCCCTAGTCCAGGTGAAAGAATACCAGAGAAGTAGTTAACAGCCAAAACAATAACCTGAATTGTTGAAGAGTTTTGGCAAATATGTGTAGGGAGTGAGCCATTTAGAAAATTTGAGGAAATGTCAAGGAATTTGATGGAGGGAAGATTGATGCTTTGTGGGATAGAGCCAGTGAAGTCATTGGAATTCAAGTCCAGAAACTCTAGTTTTGGCAAATGAAACAATGAGAAAGGAAGTGAATCTTTGAGGAAATTGTGGGAGAGATTGAGGGTTCTAAGCTGATCCAAACTGCCTATTGATTCCACAAGTATGCCAGTCAATCTTTGCCTTCCAAGCTCTACTTTTGTGACTCTGCCGGAATTGACAGAATCATTCACTAGACCAAGAGAAGAGGAAGAGTTGCAAGTGATGCCTAACCAGTTGCAGCAATCAGAGAACGATGAGTTGGTAGTACCCCAACCTTGAATTGGTGACTGCAAGCCCCTCGTAAAATCCTGTAATGCCTTCAAATCATTCTGGTTGCACGTTAGGTTCTGTGATTGCAAGACTTGACCTTGGAACATTAAGAATCCAAGAACAAGACACCCAACCCACAAATCTTGGGCCTCCATATTAGTAAAAAAAGGGAAATAAAGTTCCACAAAGATTGAAGACAGATTAAAGAGAGAGCGAGAAAGTATGTGATAGTACTAAGAGCCAGCAAAGCCCTTGAGAGAAATGAAGATTTGTGAAGTACCCATATTTTGTTTAAGGAGAAAGAAGAAGCAAGCTGAGAGAAAAAGAGAGAGGGAGTAGAATATGGGGTCAATGAGAACCGTAAAAGAAGAAGGAGAAGAAGAAAAGTAGACTTGTCAGACAGGGAAACGAAAGAGAGAGGGGGAGAGAGAGAGGGAGAGAGAGAGAGAGACAGAGAAGGTGGGCTTTTGACTTGAACAAACAAACACAATTGTGGGTGTCTCTCTCGCTACGAAGTTGCTTTTCCCTTCTCTCGTTGCATCTAGGAGTCTAGAGACACAGATTTTCTTAAACGTTGCTTTGTCTCTGTTTTACTAGTGGAGAGAGAGAAACTTAATCCTAGGTTAATGGAATTGGAGATTTCAGATTAGACTCTCTCATTAGTTAAAATATTTTGTTTTTTTATGCATAAAAAAAGCGTACAGCAATTCGTCAATAACATTATGCTTTTCACACTTATTGACCAAATTAAGCTTTCATAAATATTAGAAAGGATTTTATTGTATTTATGATGAAGCCCTATCCGGATAGGATGCACAAGATATGGAATCTAGATACGAGAATTCACTTCATAATTATTATTTTTTCTAGCACCAACCATTTCTATAAAAACAAGTTACAAGCATGGATAATGCTAGTGGTGTTAGATTTTTTTTTTTTTTACCTAAATAACGTGATATTTATTATCGAAAAAATAATCTCACATCATGTTATATAGATCTTATCATATTTAGTGAGGTAATTATAATTATAAAATTAAATGTCAATAAAATACCAGTTACATTATATCATGTCACTTAGATAAATAATAATAATAATAATAATAAATTAATTACTATCTCTAACTCATCTTAAAAATATTATAAAATTAACGAAATATTGCTTAAATATACTTTATTTTTTAGAGTCATTTGACTCCATACAAGCACACTAAAATTTTGCATGCCCTATATTTTGGTTTCCTTTAAAATCAGAAGAAAAAGGAGAAAAAAACATTTTGGCTTTCTTGTGATAATTATAAAATAAAAAAAAAAACTAAACTATTCACTTCACTATTTAAAATACTATTCATTCAGATTCATTTTACTATTCACTCAACCTTATACATTAGTATTTTTGTAGTTTTCAAATATTTTTAAAACATTTATTATGAAAGTTTTTATGACATTACATTTTGATCTGTCTTTTTTAAATATCATTTTTTTGCTCCTCAATTTTTTTTAGCTTTATTTTGGTCACTCTTTTTTTGTTTCATTTTTGTCCTTGTTTTTTTTTCTGATTTTTTTAATTAAAAATTTTAAGGTAAAAGGATGTTTAGAAAAAAAACAATTAACAAAATAAGTTTTTAACTAAAAACATGGATAAAAATAAATAAATAATATTTTTTTAGTAAAAAATTTATGAAATATAAATAATAATTAGTCAAATACAAAATTTTGATTAAAAAATTATAAAATTGAATGAATTTTTATTTCGTTTGGATTTAATATATTTTGGTTAATGCATAATATAACGAGAGGATATCAAAGTAAAATAATTTTTTAAAAATAATTTTAGCTCGAAAGTAATTTTTGTGTTTTAACTTTTAAGTCGTGTGTTTTATTTATTTATTTATTTAAGGGTTACTAGTATGATTTTTTGTTTGAAATTTAAGAATATTTTGTATCGATTTCGTGTAAAGAAACTAATTTTTTTTTTCATAGATAAGATCATACACTCTCAACCTCTTTTTAAATTGAAATCTAAACCTAAGAAACAATCTCGCTTTATCATTTTGGTTCACAAAAAAAACTCAGTTATCCCTTAAAAATTTAAGATAATAATTATAGTAGTAAAAGTTTTAGTTAAAGTTAGGATAACCGGCTGAAGGCGGTGAGGTGGAAGGTAAATTGGATGTGGACGAGTTGAGGTAGAAGTCAAAGGGTGGGTGGCGACACGTGCACAGAGTCTTCGAAACTGCGTCAGGGGCCGCCATTATTATTAATTTTCATAAATACTACAGTTGGGAGGTTGAGCAAACTTCACTGTTGCCTCTGTACATTCATCCCTGTCCACTTCTGGTCTCATTGTTTAAAATATCTAAATGTTACCCTCTAATTTTATCCGTAATTATTCAATAGTCTTTTTTTTTTAATTTAGTTTTTTTTAATTATTATTTTTAAGAAATATTTTAACACGAGTGTGAATATGAGAGAGTTAAGAATAGAGAAAAATAAGAATAAATGCGAGCTTTATTCTTATTTCATAATTTAATCATAATTCATGGTCTATCTTCCATCTTGCCGGCCGAATATAGTACCTCAGTGGATTAAAAAATAAAAGAAAAAAAAATCAAATTGAGATGTAGTGTAAAATCTTTTTGGTTTTCTATTACGAAGAACTTCACCTCTGCCACAAACGCGCTTTTGAAAAAGTGCCAATTCCAGTTCCTTTAACAAAGTCTTAACCCGTATTAAACAAGCAGACCTAAGTTTTGATAAATTGTGTTGAATAATTAGTAATGAGCGGAAAAGTTTAAAAGAGAGAAGTTTGGTAATGACGTTTAATGGATAACAACAGAAAAATGGATACTGTAAAGCCCATGAGGATTTTCAAACACATGTGGGCCCGCAGATCTCGTGGGCCACGGGAGCCAAGAAACTGGACCCACTGAACCTATTAATCGTAATTTATTTGGATAATCTCTCAAGTTTTTTTTCTTTTATTTTTTTGGTATTGGAATGCTTGTATTTTAAAAGCTTAGACAATTGACTACTTATTTTAAGATCGTAAGAAATCTCGTGACGTTTCCATCAATGTGTGGTATGAAAAAAGATTGTCCTTTGTCGAATCCTGCGTAATTTTTTTTTTAATTTTATAAAATCTATAAAAAAAATTCTGAAAAAAAAATTGCAACGGATTGCATTAAAAAAAAATTAGATAAAATTGTTTTATAGTAATGATAAATAGTGAATAGTCTCTTCGAATGCATTAATAAAAACTCGACAAAACTTTACAGAAAAACGGGTCTTACCAACATATTTTATTTTATTAATAAAAAATCTCAATTATTTAAAATTAGTAAAGAGCATCAATCTGTTTGGATCAATAAAAAACACTCAGTATAACCAATAAAAAGACATTGAAGTCGTGAGTAAAAGAGAAATGGGGAGGTAAAAGGTTGCCACCAATTAGAAGAGCTTTTTTCCTTTAAAAGAACCAAGAAGAGAGAGGAGAGAGAGAGAGATCACGTGTACCTTTAACTTTGAAACTTCAAACTCTATCTTTTTCTTCTCTTTAATTTCTCAACAATCTTTCGTTGCTTTTTTCAAGTAAATTATAAAGTAGTTCAAGAAACAAATTAATTAATTTTATTTATTTAAAAAAATAATTATTTAATCGGTGTTAATAATGTTTAATTTAATATTATTTTATTTTTTAAAAAATATTTTTCATTAATTTTTCTGTAATAATCTATTTTATTTTTTATTTTTTAAAAACAAGTTAGAAAGTAACATAAAATTGACAAAATGACTAAATAATTAGGGATTAATTAATTCATTTCTTAAAATTAGAGGGATTGATTTATAATTTACTTCTTTTTGCCCCTGAAATCTACCTCAAAAAAATCAAAATTTCATGTTCAGATTTCAAACAAAATAATAAATAACAACAATAATAATCTCAGCCCGGAAAATAAGAAATCCCGCCAGGAAAAGCAGACCAAAAATTGGCTATGCAAATCTTAATACGAGGCAAAACGTAACCTTGAGAAAAATTATCAATTCCACCCACTATCCTTGTAGCTATGAAAACGCAATTTCCTTTGCCTTTGGCCGAGCCGTCGGAGATTCTAGGTTCTTCAATTATCAATGATACGGGGGATTTATTTACCGCGGCCTAGACAGAACCCTCCATGGCATGACCATTCTAGAAATTGGTATGGTTGGAGTTGGGTTGGGTAAGACCATAGTGGTCCAAATGGTCTTCTGTGACGGTGAAACACAGGACAAGTTTGAAAGAAGAACGCTGAGGATTCCTGTTTCTCTAACATATTATGAACATATCACGAGAAGCAAGCTGAGAGCCTTGGGACATGGAAATGCATAAGATGATGGAGGTGAATCGTTAAGGGAAATAAACCGGCACTTTTAGGTAAGAGGAATTTGATTGTGAATTTGTGATGGATGATGGCGTATGTAATGGATGATGTACAATTCATGAAGAAATTGTTATGACTCCTTGAAAGTCAAGGATGTGTGTATAATTTTTTAAGTTCAGTAGTAAGATCGTTACCAAACCAAACTTAACGCATTTTAAAACTACTTTTTTTAAAAAAAATGATCGAAACTTGAATCAGATTTACAATATTTATTTATAAACGCACTATCATTTTGTAGTTAGATATACATATAATTATAAATACAATGAGATGTTTATAAAAATATATAGATACAAAAAATATAATATTTTATATTAACGTCGTTGTGTTAATTATTTATTTTTCTTTTTGTATTTATAATTTGTTCAATGTTTTTTTTTTTTGAATTCCTTCAAATCACTCCTCTAATCTTTCAACTAATAATTAACTTTTATTAAGTCTCTATGCTAGTTGTGATGCTATTTATATCGCAATTAAATACATTTCACAACGGGATCACTTTTTATACTCAGATACAGTCTATATTTATTGCAGGTTTTTTATACATGTTTCAATTAAAAAAAAATTGTAACAAAACAAATAATAGATGGTTGGATGGTAGTCGGTAGGCAGTGTAGCTTCTAAACTCAAGAGTCAATGAATTCAATTACTTACTTTAAAAGCACTATCATTTGTTCTAATGATGTTTTTAGCGTTTTTTAACATAAAATCAAATTAAACAAGTTACAATTAGTTTGTAAATTTTAGAAGAGGTATGCAATCTTATGTGTTTGCAAGAACAATTATTTATAGTAATGATTATCTCAAATTGACGATTCAAATTTTCTAAATTAATTCGTAATCAGAATTATAAGTATAATTTATGCACTAAGAAATAAATGTTGCAATCTTAAAAATAACTCAAATACAAGCATGAACTATCTTAAAATTTTAGCAATACATAAATTAAAATTATAAAATTGCAATCCTAACAATACATAATTTGAAAGGAAAAACTTAAATTTATTGATGACGGTGAATTCTTTTAAATTAATACTTTAGACATAACAATATTATAGGAATTGAGAATTACAATCACATGTATATAAGATACAAATTAAGAAATCAACTATCCGTATATGTACTTATCAACTTATTAGATTACTATCTATTTGATTATATCTTATAAATTACTGTATGCAAACTATAGTCTAACAATTTTCAAACGTGTTAAAACTTAAAAAAAAAGTATTATATAAGTTATTTGTAATTTAGAAATTGAGTTTATTTATATTTTATATATATATATTTTTCTCATATTACAACTGTATTTATAAACTTCCTATTCTTCTGTAATCTCATGCAGTGGATTACATTTTTTTCATTTTATCATGTACTCTTGTAATGTTATACATTCTTTGTAAATATCCAAATCGTGTCTTTGTCAGTGCTAAATTCTCACTAATTGTGTGCTAATTGCTTTCTGATTGGTTTTTTCTATTTATCAAGATTGCTTCCCACGTATTTTTCTATGATTCAATTCTATTAATAGTCCATGTCCATATTTTTCTCACCAAAAAACTATTTGTTTTTCTATTGCAAGTTCTTCCAAGCTGTTATATTCGAATTTGGTTTTCAGACCGTGAACTAATGGACCAATGAGTTTAGACTAGACGTGGACCTAGTGGAAGCCAACAAAAAGTTGAGATGACATCTTTCAAGAAGAATTCATAGGTTATTTTCTTCCGATTTGTTGGGCTGTCAAACGCAAATCAAATTTTGGTATACCAATATTACCAGATATATCTTCTTAAATATATTTTTCTAAGACAGTTTATGAATTTATTATTCAAAGATAATTTATTTAATGATATAAACTTTATGTGAATATAAAAAGTTATCTCATAAATAAAAAGTAATTATCAATTTATTTTTTGAAGATAGTTTATCTGGTGATGTAGACTCTACGTGAAAATAAAAAGTCATTTAAAAAATAAAAATAATAATTTCATATTCGCATGGATAATTAATTTGACTTGATATAAGTCATATATTGAGTTAATTTGATAAATTTTAAAACCATAAGGGTTAATTGACTAGTTAAAAAATAAAAAAAATAATAATAATTAACACAGGCAAGAATGTAAATTTAGTGGTTTAAAAAAAAAACAAATCTTAAAATACTGGCATTAATTTCTGCCAGTACCTCTATTTCTTTTTTCGTCTCTTGCCTAAGTTGCCTTAATATGAATAGCACAAGCAATTCAAGATGGGCTTAGGCCCATCTGAAAGACTCAAGCTCGGACTTAAATCAAGTGGAACCCAGCCCACGGCGTCCTGCAATAAACTATCGTTTGAGTAAACTTTTTGAATTTTAATTGTCATATAATTATAGATGTTTTCAAATTACTACAAATCTTAAAGTGAGGAATCCAAATTAATATAGTCGATTGTCAGTTTTACTAACTTCATTTTAACACACAAATATTACTTTTATCCACATTCACGTGTCATGTAAATTTGTGTTAGAGAGTGATGGTACTGATAAAGTGTAAAATATTCCACATTAATAATAATAATAATGATGATAATAAGGTACAAACAAATGATCATAATTAAATAATTCATGTTGATATCATCTATTAAGAAGTTGTCTCCGTTCGGAAAGATTTATAAGCCTCTGTTTTTATATTATTCTTGTGCATACAAAAATTACCCATTAAGGATGCCATCTTTTTTGATGCATAATTTTCAATATAGATATATACTATTTACAAGTGCTCTCAACACCATTCTACCTATTGATTTATTAATTGAGATGGAGAATGGAAAGCAGGGAGGAATCGTGTGCGTTGTAATTGTTGCAGCAACCACATAAATACGTAAGCTTGTTACCAAAAAAATTTATTTGATCCCGAGAACGTCCACTAAAAATTTATGTTGTCTCCAGATGGACATGTTGGCGGCGCCCATCTCGAGGATCGATTTCTTTTGTCTTCATTTGAACTCCGTCTGATCTGGCAGAAAAGAATCCCTTTCTCTCAAAATATTAATTGGCCCTCCCGTGTTGCCAGACGCGAGCAACTCGTCGTGATAAAATGCCATCTGATATTCGAAACATCAAGATATCGAGATTGGAGTACTCGTCAATTAGTATGTGTGTATAATAACAACGGTTTTGCTTTACCTCCAAGAGGACCAGTAATTTCCTGTGCATTGTTTATTTATCGTAGCAATATTGCTATGAAAAAAAATACTCCTAATTACTTGAAAAGTCCCTAATCAACCCTTTACTAAAATCAAACTATTGAAAACAAAAACTAAACCATCTCTATTGAGTTTCACAAAACTCGTCTTAGGAAACTTCCATCAATTAAAATGTTCTTTCTTGTTGACTGTGGTAGAATTGAGTGAAGTTAACGTTGAGTTACAAGTCACTATTCTGCTGTAAATGCATGCTGGCAAAATAACGGATTATTCAAAAAAGAAGTTTCTGATTTAAAAATAGTTTTATTTCACCATAGCCAGAATCTCCAACATACCACTTCAAACCAACTATCTCATGAAATTTCTCCAGCCACTGCTTTGGTACAAATCGAGTTTATAAGCAACTAATCACTGAGTTCAGCTAAAAAGAAATTGAAAATTAGCTTTTTCGTATTGCATCATGCACCGATTATTGCAACATCTTTGAAAAGTTTAATTTCATCTCATCTGTCGTGAGGAAAATAGATATACAAATTGATCAGTCAATTATTTACAACGTCATTGAAAAGTTTAATTTTATAACATCTATCGTGAGAAAAATAAATGTGCAGATTGATTAGCCAATTATTCTTACTCCTTATATATGGACATTCATCATTTTTCAAAAACTCATATAGGCTATTTAAGTCTCATGTTAAAGGATATTTGTAGCATTTTTTTCAACGATGCTATGATTGTATTTTTCCAGGGCCCTCGTTTTATTAAAAAAGGCATAAATTTATATTTATTTCAATTATTGAGCTCTAAATCTTTGTTATCACTAAAAAGTTCCTGTTAACTCTAAAAACTTAAATAATTTTTGAATTTAATTGCAGTCTCTTAATATAAAAAATTGGAAGATTATTGTTAAATATTATTCATGCCTATTTTGAAGTGATTGCAATATAACTGGTGGCGTTTTTTGATCTCCATGATGAAAAAAATATTATATATCAATCGTTTGTAAACGTGTTTAACTTAAAAATCAAAAGATTAAACAAAATGATTTTTAAAAAAAAAAGTTATCGTGTGAGCTACTGTCATTTGCTGCCCTGTTCTGTCTTCGGGTCCTAAGAACCAAGCTTAAACCTATATTTCAAAACCTGAATAAAAGCCCAGCCTATCGATTAAAAGACCTCAGCTCACTATTGTGGGCTACTGTCATTTGCTGCCCTGTTCTGTCTTCATAAATCACAAGCTCCAAAAAACGAAATGACAAGTCGTTCAGCTACAAATTCTAAATTCGAAGTTTCGCTGGATTTCCTCAGCAACCTTCCTAGTAACAAGCATATTTTACAATAACATCACCATTGTAACAGGGCTGTTTGCTGTAGCTGTGTTATGTTAAAAGTAGTTTTCACAACCGGTTATTATACTGTATTTATAAATTTTTTAAAAGTTAAATAATATTTGTTTAAATTCTATTGTTGTTGTTTAGAAATAGAAAATAATCAGTAATAACGGTAGCACGTTAAAAATATTATAACAAATATATTCAATTTAAAGAGGTGTCGCTGGCCCACTTATTTGTCTAATCACATAACCCTTTTTTTTTTTTTTGTGACTAAAAATACAAAACCACTGTACCTTTCTTTCTTAATATTGGGAAAAATAAGAAAAGTAATTTAAGAGTGTGTAGGCAAATAGAAATGTCTTGCACCTAATTTGATTAAAAACTCTCACATCAATTCCTTAATTTGGTTTGAAGAACGCGTTGGGCTTTTACACTTTTAATATCGGTCAATACGATTTGGATGTTCAAAAACAAGGTGCAAAAGGAAGTAAGCTGTGTTTTGCAAGTTAATGGCTCCAATCAAAAAGAGTTTTGTTTTAAAATAATATCTATATTATTATCCTAATCTCTTCCAGTGCGTTAATAGAAAATCGAATATGATCAATGAATTCACCAAAATCAATGATTTCAAATGAAGTTAAAGTGCTAAAAGGAAGAGGATAAGATGGGACGGTTATTTTGATGAAACTTGAAAAAAAAGAAAGAAAGAAGAAGCATATTATATATGTGTGTTAATTGGCAATTAAGTGGATTGAAGGGCAATTTGATCCTTTCATGTTAAAAAAGAATTAAAAAATTGTTTGGATAGACAAATGCGTATATCAAAATGGCGCCTCCCTTTCATTCTTATCAAATGATTCAGAGACCAGTTGACTTTTATTTTTATTTTTATAATTATAATTTGAATAAATTTGTTATTTATTGTTTTGTTCGTTTTAATTTCGTGTTCTCTTATTGACTTGGTTAAATAGACCGACGTAAGGATTAAGAGGGAAAATTCGATGTAAGATCATAGATTAACTAACGGCTTTAAATAGAAGCATTTAATGATAGATTTTGAAGCCAAGTGAAACGTTATACCTTTATTCAAAGAGCGCCCTCAAGACACATTCAAACATACAAAAATAAAAAAGTTGAATGCATCAAATATGTTTTGAATTTTAATTCATTTAAAAATTAGTTTTTAAACTCTTAAATTTTGAATTTGATCTTTTTAATTGTTTTTTAGGTTTAGTTCATTTTTATTTATTATATTCTTTTAAAATTTTCAATTCTTATTATTTTGATTTGAAATTTTATATACATATTAAAAAATTATGTAATACATGTTTTTAAAAAAATATCAAAAAATTCAAGATCAAGAAGTATATTGTTTTATCTTATTAACATTAAAATATTAAAAATTGAAAAAAATGTAAAATAATTCAAAATGATTTCGATTTTTTTTTAAAGCTTTAGATAAATCTTACTAAATAATTTATGTCATGTGACTATTTTTTTACCTTTTTATCCCTGAGTATGTATTTACATGGATGGATTCAGTTTGGCTTTTTTGTTTGGGCTAAAAAGAAAAGTTGTAACTTTTTTTTTTTTTCTAATCTCATTTTTAATTAATTTTATTTTATTTATCTTAATGAACCTTCCGAAATATTTGATTTTTTTTCCTTTTTAAGAAAAGCTGTGCTTTCTTTATGCTTGTTTTAGTTATTAGCGACATTTTTTTTTTTTGGACTTTTTTAACAATCTTTGGTCTTTTTTTTTTCTTTTTTTTTTTTTTTTGGCGTTGTCGTTCAACGTTCAAAAATATATATTCGGACTTTAATAGTTGACTGTAATGTATTTGAAAAATATCTGTTGGTTGGTCTAGATTTAACATACGCAATGCAATATCTAGTCCACGAAAACTGAGACATGAGCATAAAATATAAATTTGAAAGAAAATGATATTGTTGCTCCTTGATATATAGTTTGATAAAATCGAAATTTAAAAGAATCACAAGTATCATAATAAACCCATCTATTAGCAAACTCTTTTTCGCATAGAAAATCTTAATTGAATAACTCCAAAAACGGTATTATAACCATCGATATTCACAATAAACCCAACTATCAGTAAATTATTTATCAACTAGAAGGTGTTGATAATTTTTTTCAAAAAATTAAGTAATTATCTATTTCTAAATTATCAATGAGGTATTAATTAATTTTTAAAGTAACTAAGATATGTATAAAATTTCATCCAGTTCTTTAATGAAAGCCTTAACTTAATTTCAAGTGTATATATAAAAAAATACAACTATAAAAAACTTCTTATTGCAAAAATAAAATTTACATACTCAAATACAAAAAATAAATAAACAAATAAATAAGAATAAAAGGATTAAAATTTAAAGACACTAAATATGTAACAATCTCCTTATATAATAAAAAGACTACTAAATCACGGATTTTATATATATGTAAAACTAGTTCATATTTCATCGCACAGCTAGACATAAAAAAAATGATTTATTTTCCGAAATCAATATGTGGTCCAAAAATATATTAAGCTTTCCTCAAACTACTAATACTAAAGAGTTACAGCTTAAAAGGAAATATGATTTCCCAAAAAATGGTACCTTTTGCATTTATTTATTTATTTTTATATTTATAGGTAATTGAATATTTTTCAAATAAATCTTGACATCCATCCAAATTAAATCAACATTTGAATATGATTAACTTTTTATCGATGAATTGATTTTCTCTTTAGACTAAATAAAGCTAAATCTAAAATGATTAAAAATAACTATAACTAATTATTATTGAGCAGTGGGAATTAAAATTTATTGTTGACCAAAATAAATAACTTTTTTACCGCCATACCTGATCCATCAGTGGTTTGCATTTTCTTTGTTAGCATCTGGTTTTGTCAACCAGCCTTTTACTCTTTCTTTTGTTCATCGAGAAAGTACCGATGCACTCAAGATTACGTCAAACCTTTTGCAGACCAAATGACTTATAAAATCATTATAATCAAATTGGGTGGTTCACATTCCGGTAACAAAAATCAAATCAAATTAGGGGATATTCCACCACCTTTCACGGTGCCACTTGGATTCCAAATCACACGTTGATACCAAGACCACACCACAGACTTCCAAACATGTTGGCGCCTTGGCGGGGACCGGATCAAATAAACGAAGCCTAGTCAGACGTTCATTAATATAACCGTAACTGCGGACCACGAAGCCAAATTACATGGAAGCCCTTTCCTAATGATCACTCAATTTGAAAGATGAAAGATCCCATCCTCACCAATTTAAACAAGTAACGTGGAAGGGTATTTTAGTCAGTGCGACAAGAATATTCAGTTTCTCCGTTGAATACGGTTTCAGTGGGGCCACTCCTGTTAACATCGGCCGGCGACGAGGCAACTTTGTGATCGAAGCCATAACAAGAAAAGATTTTGTTTCTATATTAGTATTTTTATTTTCATTTAACTTATATAATTGGTTCGGCCAGGTCACAACTCACGACTCATAAAACTGGTTGATTTCTTTAGCTAACAGGCAACTCGAAACCTCCTAAAAGAAAGTACCCAATACCAGCTTATTAGTTAAAAAATTAACTCATAACGAGATATATTTCTCATATTGCCATCGTTGAATTCTATATATAAAAAAAAAGTAACTTTTTTTTTATATATATATATATATATACCAAGTTGGATATGATATATAGGCACATGTAGAATCTAATGACATATTTTAAATGCTTAAAATTAATCCGAAAATATCTTCATTTTATTTTTCAAAAAAAAAAAAAAAAGGAACAAAAAGCGAATCAATGTCACCATGTATCTGACCTCTTCTTCTTCTTTTTATTTTTGTTATTATTTTAATGAATTTAAAAATTACACTGCATAATTTGTTTGATTTGTTAAACCTCCCTCCTTCTGTCCCATATATAATCTCCTCCATCCATAAAACCCCTCCGATAACAGCGCTCTCTTTAACTCCCCTCACCAAAATCCTCCCCTTTCTCTGAAAAAATCTCATGCCTTTGTGCTCCTAGAAAAAATATCTTCCTATTTTTTTTTTCTTTTTGTGTTACCAAAATGGAATTAACAAACGGAGAACTGATCAAGGCTGCTGCCGAAGAGAAATTAGGAATTAACGTAGTAGAGGCAAACGGAGTTCCTGATGGAAATCTCAACAAGGAGATTATTCAAACAAGATTCGCAAACGAGAATCTCTCCAATTCCGTCCATCTCTCTCCAAATTCAAATTCAGATATTAACCACGATGATCCAGCTGGAGATACAAAACCCGCAAAAAAGGATCAACAAGAAGATGGATTCTGCCAAATAGAGATGGAGGAGAAGAGACAAGATTCAGCGACCGAGATATTGGATTCATACGATACCGTTGAAAGAATCCCATCAACCGAAAGTCACGTGAAGAAAGAAAATAATAACGATTTTATAGCCGTTACACCCAAAATCAACGGTTATATACAAATAACCCAGCCTGATTCTCATCTCCCGAAACCAGAGGCACCTCCAGGTCTCTCACCTCCACCTCAAACTCAACAATACCGAAACGGCGACGTTGTAACTCGATCCAAATCCTTGTCTGATAGTTTTACGGCCGTCGACATGCCGTCCATCGGAAAATTCATCAAGGACCGAAGCAACAGCTTATCGGCATCGATTTCAAAAAGATTTTCCTTTGTCAAATTTGACGACGGTGATGGCGATGACACGAATCATAAGGTGAACTCATTCGACTCGGGCGTGACAGAGTACAACATATCGGGACTCAAAGTTATAGTGAAGCTAAAAAACGACGATGAGGAGGAACAAATTAAAGGACAGATAAGTTTCTTTTCAAGGTCAAATTGCAGAGATTGCACTGCAGTCCGTTCGTTTTTCAGAGAGAGAGGATTAAAATTTGTTGAAATCAACATCGACGTGTATCCGCAGAGAGAGAAAGAGCTGATTAGGAGAACCGGAAATTCTCAGGTACCGCAGATATTTTTCAACGAGAAATTGTTTGGTGGTTTGGTGGCGTTGAATTCGTTGAGGAACAGTGGAGGTTTTGAGCAGAGGTTGAAGGAGATGTTAGCGAAGAAATGTTCAGGTGATGCGCCTGCACCGCCGGTGTATGGATTTGATGAGCATGAGGAGGAATCAACGGACGAGATGGTTGGGATTGCGAAGGTTTTGAGGCAGAGACTGCCAATTCAGGACCGTCTGATGAAGATGAAGATTGTTAAGAATTGTTTTGCTGGGCATGCGATGGTCGAGGTGCTCATTCACCACTTCGACTGCGGCAGGAAGAAGGTACGTATATACACGCTGTCGTTTAACGTATCTAAACTTTGCTAGTTTTGTGGTGCTGCTAAATTTTAGTTTGACTTTTCTTTTGGTTAAGCTTTGACTAGTTTGATACTGACTAATATATTAGTGGATAGGAAGGGAAATATTTGGAAGCTGATTAATTTTAGTTTAAATTGAAAATAACGATAATAGACATGTTTTCATTTGTGGACCGAGGAGAGAAATCAAGTCAAGAGGTGGTGGTGGTGGTGGTGTTTCCCATGAGAGGAAAACAAACATCAATGATGCCGAACACGCAGCGGCATGATTATGGAGTGAGGATCAACCACCTCGTTAGATGAAAAGAAATTAATGATTTAATTAATCACATACTTAAATTAGCTATTAGTACTGGTAGCATATTATACTAAACTGATACTGGTAAACGGCATGATTAAGGCAGTACATTTGCTGATAATTGCTAATGTGGTCACGCAAATGCAATCATACAGGTTGCCAAATAAAACCTGCTCATTATTATATGTGAGTAGAAATTATCAGGTTAAATGGATTTGATCCGAGAAAACCATATAGTCATTTAAAAAATAAATATATATATAATTATAACACACTTCAAAATTAATGTGTAATTCTACTTTATTCATCTTTAGCTGATAAAAAAAACCTAACATTGGTGAGAAACTCCTCTTTTATGCTAATTTCTTACCGAGAAGTGACTCGATTCTAATTAATAGACATGAAAATCTGTTCATTTGTTTGAAAGGTACATAAAATGCCAATAGACATTCAGTCTAATGTATCTTATCTTAATTCCTAAACGATTTCTTACAAGAAACTGAACCGGAATAATTTTTTAGTTCAACCACATTATTAGATGAATAACTTTTAGTGCGCAACATTAGCATCCCTCACTCCTATCAATATATAATCTAATCGAACATAAAATTCTTTATTTTTTCTCTCTTTTTCCATTTACAAGATGAATGTTAAATTATTTGTTTTGCATTATGGTGGCATTCCTAATGATACATCTAACTTAACAATTTTTTTTTCATTCACGTTAAGATATTTCTATGGCTAAAATCATGACGAAATAACGATTGACTAATTAAATTCTACTTTGAATAAAAAATAATTGACTAACTTGAAAACGGACAATTAGAATATTGAAATTATTATTATTTGTATATAGAAACTCTTTGGCCATTAGATATAATTAGAAACATTGTCAGGGTGTAGCTATTTTAATTAAAAAGGACTAATAAAAACATCTTTCTGCATAAAAGTTGGATGGAAAAGTGATTAATTATATTCTAAAGAGGCAAATACGATGAGAAATATGTTTAGTTTGTTATTTAACAAATTAGTATTTTCATCATAAAACCAAAAAAAAGAAGAATATGATGTTTTTACACAAATAAAAAACGAATGTGATATTTTTATATTTTGCATGTAAGTTAGTTACATGAAATAAAATTAATGTATTTGTTATTATATTTTTATTTGATAAATACGGGGATACATGTGCAAAGATGATCAATGTTTGTAAATACAGAAAGCGTCTATGCACATACACATGCTATTTTTCTAAATCAAAAGAGTATATTTGATTTATTAGGTTAGGGGTTCAGTTCTTACATTTGTAATGTTAAAAAAAAAAAATCATACATTTGCATTTAAAAAAAAAAACCTCTGCATTCTCCAGTAAATTATAAATTGGTTTTTAGTTTTGTTTTTAAGAAACGAATTAATTAGTTTATCTTTATTTTTTATTGCTTAAAAAAATAAAAAAATAAAAAAATGAAAATGATTAAGTTATAAAAATATTTTAAATTACAGAGATTAAATCATTAGTCTTTAAAATAACAGATACTAATTAATTCGATTTTTGGAACTAGAGGCACTAATTTTATAATTTACTCCTGCATTCTAATAATAATAATACCTCTGCCTCTTTTGTGTTATATCTATATATATATAGGCTAGTGGACCAACCCAACGTGTTAGGTTGGTTCCCAAAATGTTAGTGAAAAGCGTTCATGCTAGGGAGCTGTTTGTGGGGTCCCACTTCTTTATGCTATATGATTGAGACCACTCCCACTTCCCAAACGTTGGATCCGCTCCACCCAACCCTATCCATTATCCATCTCGTGAAAAAGCAAATGCGAAGTTGCTTTGATGATGTTGGACGCGTATTTTTGCCATTCCTTCCGTAGCCCTAGATTCCGCCTTTTTTCCAACATTTGAAAGTTCTTTGTTTCCTCTTTCTCTCTCTCTCTCTCTCTTTTTTCCTAATTAAGGTAAGCAAACATGTCATGTCTTGGGGAAGTTATACGTTCTCTTTTTATGTTTTTATTTTATTCGAGTCGATATTTATAGCAAGCAACGACCTTTTGATAACTGACTCTCACATCCATTTGCTGATTTAACCAAAATTTATGAATCCAGCGCCTTAATTCATGTATCATGCATGATACAATAATGAAATAGCATAAGAATGACAGCAGCAAAACCACGAGAAATTTTGTTTGTAGTGAAAAATTCTCACGTTCGTATCCATGAAACCAAACTAATTGCACTGTCTTGATTTATTAAACTAACCATTTATAATACTTGCAGCAACCAATTAAACTGTTTTTTCGGTTTGATCCACATGAACCGAGTTCATGTGAAATTTCTAGGCATTCCACATAGATGATAGACCTATATGTTACATTTTACTATTTTGAAAAAAAAACGTTTGTCAATCTTCAATTGCATTGTTTTTCTAGGATATAATTCAACTTTTCTAGCTTGGTTGTGCTTCTCATAGAGTATTGAAGACCAATCAACCACTTGTTCAACGTTTGGAAAATAAAAATACTAATACAAGTTAGTCTCAATATGTAGAAGAATGTCGAGGATAGTCAAAGATGTAACTAGGTCTCGCTAGTTATACCAAGAAAACAAAATCATAGAAAGGCTTTTGAAAATTAATATATGACAGTGGATCAATAACAGGACGTATTCCCCTTAAAGAAACAAAAATAAGAGGCGGGATTCTATTTTTTTTATTAGTGACATAGAACTAAGAGAACTTGAAAATTTTCTGAATGAAAAAGGCAATGAAAAGAAATTAGTTCTTATTTTGGGTTTTGTATGCTCAATTTCGTGAAGTACTTTGCATGATTATTGATGGCGCATAATCAAATAACAAGTGAAGGAAACTAGATGGACATGGTTATGCCTGTCACTTTGAATTTGCAAGTGAGTTTCTTTCTTGTGTGCTAATTGATTTTTATATGAAAACATATGTAGGCTGTTGAGATTGGTAAGCAGCTGGCCAGGAAGCACTTCATTCATCATGTTTTTGGGTAAGAAGTTTTCCCCTTGTATGAATGCAATATGATTGGTCAACATAAATTTTAATTGTGTTAGTTTTTCAATGTATCTGTAGGGAAAATGATTTTGAAGATGGAAACCATTATTATCGTTTCCTTGAGCATGAACCATTTATTCCCAAATGCTACAATTTTAGAGGGTCTACAAATGACAGTGAGCCTAAGCCCGCAGTTGTGGTTGGACAAAGGCTCAACAAGATAATGTCTGCGATACTAGAGTCATATGCCTCTGATGACAGGTGCCATGTTGATTATGCTGGCATCAGCAAGAGCGAGGAATTCCGAAGGTATGCTGTATCTTTTCTCTGGTTTTACTTATATGCCATTTATTATTGTGCTTCCAATCTCACACATCTTCTGGAAAGGTATTCATCACATACTGCTGACAGGATCTTATTTATCAGAGTCTATCTCCTTTCCACTTTCTGCAAAAGAGCTCCAATTGTCATTCTTAAGTGTCTAAATAAGCTAAATCACTTAGTTTAATTTATGGAATAGCTCACACTAGGTGGCATGGAGGTTTAATCTCATTGTTGATGTAGTGAAGTTGATCAAGAGGGTAATTGGTCAAGTAGAATTTACAAGGAGAGATTCTTGTGAATAAGGGATTCAAGTTAAGGTCGCCTGTAAAGAACATTAAAAAGAGGACTGGTTGAATATAAATGGTCAAATTGAATGGCAGAATGGTAGGGAACAGGGCTGTTTTGGCATAATCATTCAAAGGGACTGGAATATAAATGTTATACTTACTGGTGATAATCCAATCCAAAAGAAAATTACAAAACTGATCCGAATTTGAACTAATAAGTCTCAGTTTGGTTCATTTTGTTCTTACTCTTCACTATAATTGGTTTGGTTTGAATCCATATTACAGTGCAGACTGAAATGATTCATTCTTATATGTTTCTACATGTGGATTTACATGCTTATATCCTTACATTTCTAGTTGCAGATTTACAAAACTTCCATAACCAAACATATCCTGCTATATTCAACATAAGTGTTATTGCGCCATGTTATATAAAGAAACAACATATATAAACTCATACACAGGGTTCTCCTCCTCCAAATGTTCAATTCATTGAAGGGAAAAGTTGCAACAGGTTCAGCTTTAATGAAAACTTAACAATGTTTACCAAGATATTGTTAGGTTCTGCTACAATGAACACCGAGATATATCCACTTGTTCTTTAGCGGTTAACATTATAAGTCATTTTAGCTTCTCTAAGTTCTTTCTCTCTATCTATGGATGCAGATACGTCAATTTGGCTCAAGATCTTCACAGGGTGGATCTCCTAAAGCTCTCACAAGGCGAGAAACTGGCCTTCTTCTTGAACTTGCACAATGCTATGGTCATCCATGCTGTGATTAGAGTAGGATGTCCAGAAGGGGCAATTGATAGGAGATCCTTCTATTCTGACTTTCAATACGTTGTAGGAGGGTATCCCTACTCTCTAAATACAATTAAGAATGGAATTCTCAGAAGCAACAGAAGATCTCCCTACTCATTGGTCAAGCCTTTTGGCACTGGAGACAAACGCTTAGAGGTAAAGATTTCCACTGATGTTGGTTATATCTGCTACATTTTGTTTATTTTTGGCGGTGGATATCTTAAAGCTGAACCTGATTTTGTTACATCTTTCAATGTGAACCTGATTTCTAGCACTGCATTAGTAACTTTCAAAGTAATGCGTTATTTTCATTTTGAAAGATCAAGCCTGACTCCAACTCTCTTACTCATTGAGTTTCAAAGAACGAGAAAAATGAGTTGACCTTATAAGTTAACTTGCATATATTTAAAGGAGACAGTGGCTAAAACCTTGAACTGTCTGTGATGAAATGGCAGGTCGCTCTTCCTAAAGTGAATCCATTAATTCATTTCGGACTCTGCAATGGTACAAGATCAAGCCCCACAGTGAGGTTTTTCACACCCCAAGGAATTGAAGCTGAATTAAGAAGTGCTACAAGAGAATTTTTCCAAAGGAGTGGAATGGAGGTGGACTTGGAAAAGAGGACAGTTTACCTTACACGGATTATCACATGGTGAGCAATCGAGTGCCTACTTATGTCTGTGCTTATCAATTTCGTTAATGGTTGAAACTTAAAAGCGTCCGTGTCATGTGGTGTGGTAATCATGCACATTCATTGCATCTCAAGTCAATATTATCAAATGTCTGATCTGTAAACTTTTGGTCTGCAGGTTCAGCGGTGATTTCGGGCAGGAGAAAGAAATTCTGAGGTGGATTATCAACTACTTGGATGCAACTAAAGCAGGTCTACTGACCCATCTTTTGGGAGATGGGGGTCCTGTTAACATTGTGTACCAAGATTATGATTGGTCTATCAATTCCTAAGTATCCCGCAGTGCTGTTCAGAGGTTTCGGTAGAGAGGAACTGCACTGGCCAGGAATATATCTGTATATAATACCTTAAAATTTGAAACCCATAACCTTGCCATGATCAGATGTTTGAAATCTGAAGAATACAGGGAAATTGTTGATTTACAAGAAGTATAAACCATTGTCGGTGCTTGTGTTTGTTTCTAAATGCAAGCATCCTTGATGTATGTAGAAAGGAAAGTAATGCTGCTGGATTAGTCCAATTTTCTGCAATTAGCTTTCACATTTGTAGCACTTTTTTTTTTTTTTTTTTTTTCTTTCGTGGTGATTGCATTAGGAAAGAATCATAACAGCAATCCTCTCGAGACCTTCACTGCTCTGCAGCAAGCAAGGAGTCAAGAAATCAACATAGGCTTCTTCTTTTAAGGCAAGGTCCATTACCTCCTCCTTGGTATCAAGTCAAAAGAGCCCATACACTTTGGCAACAAAAGAATGCTCTCTTCACGTGCTCGGTATAACATTATACAAGTGGGCTTTCCGGTTGATCGAGTAAATTCTGGACCAAACTGTATTGAATGACAAGAGTTATTTAGTACATCTAATAATATTTTCCAAAACTCTGTATTCTTTAGGAAACCAAGAGGTTGACAATTTTGTTTGCCTATGGAAGTGTGGGTTTGCCAGTGACTGGATAGGGGATTCTAATTTCCGGGCAACAGTGTCAATTAAATCCAGTTCTGATGCCATATCATTTCTTGCCTGTGATGTTCGCGACCATAAATCATCAGATTCCTCTTTAAGGTACAATTGTCTGTTTTAAAGATCTTTATCACGAAAAATATAAGTTGGTTTGGTTAGTACTAATCTATAAACCATGAATATATTGATGCAGCAACTTCCGGCGTTTTACCTGTTTTTATGCATCAGTACACAATCTATTGGATTGTTGAAAAACCGGTGCCTAGAAACTGATGATTATGAAGTCTTGACTCTGGAAATCGTCATTTTGTTCGTATTTGAAAAATCCTTGAATGGGCTGAAGTCCAAGCATGCAAATACGAGTTTCCAGTTTCCAGTAATAATATTCTACAGATGTTACTTTGAAGAATTTATGATGCCCACGTATGATGCAAGGAATGGAATGGGGACTGGAAAATGAAAAGGCTTGGAAGAGGAAAGAACACGTGAAGACAAAGAAGGGGACAGGAAGATGAAAAGGATGAGGAACTTAATCGAACGGTGGAGAATTCAACTTACAGAGTTATTATGCTTGGGCCAGGATCTCTTGGTAACTTGAACTTAATTATTGGGCTTAATTGTAGCAGGCCCGTTTATAGTTTGTTTTATTGTTGTTAGTATAAAGAACGAAGAGAGCGGAGACTGAGAATAATGCGCAGTTAAAACAAATTTTGTATCTCTCTGTCCTTTTTCTTCTCTTGTTCTCTCTCTGTTCTTCATCTTCTTCCTCTGTCCTTTTCCTTGTATCAACTCCCACATGCATACTGGTTTTACAGGGCCTGCAACATGTGGTAGGCTGATTTTTGGAATGTTTCATGCATCTGTGAACATGAATAATTGCAAGTATTTGTTTGTGTATGAAATTACAATAAATTAGGGGATTTCTGAACCTACTGTGTCAGTCTGGTGTATGGATGGTATTTTGGATTTCACAACTGAAGCTAATATTCCTAATTGGATGGAACCACATTGTTTCCAGACTAGGCCAAAGAAAGCCACAAAAAAAAAAAAAAAAGTCATCCTCACAGTAGAATAATAAGTAAATTATAAATTAGTCCCTCTAATTTTAAGAAACAAATTAATTAGTTTTTTTTAAAATTATTATTTAATTTTCTAATCAGTGTTAACCATTTTTACTTTAATATTATTTTTATTTTACATTTTTTTGTATTTTCTCATCAATTTTTTTATTTTTTAAATTAAAATAAATTAAAAAAAGAGTGAAAAAATTATATTACAATTAGATTTCAAAACATAAAAATTAAATAATTAGATTTTAAAACAAAAGAGATTACTTCATTCATTTTTTTAAAACTAGAGGGATTAATTTATAATTTACTTATGGATGTGCCAATAGCCTATATAAACACACGCGCGCGCACACTCCATGTGACACCTGGCCAAACTAGTTCCCTCCTTGTTTTCCCGCCAACATGAATGAATAAATAAATAAATAAATAAATCCAAAGCACATAACCGGAAGTGGAAGTAGCGGTGACCAGACAGAAAAGTCGATAGCCAACCGATCGAAGGTTGTAAAAATGGAGAAGACTAGCGTAGCACCAACTGGTTGCTACAAGTGTGGACGTCCAGGACACTGGTCTCGTGATTGCCCTGATTCAAACCCTAACCCTAACCCTAACCCCAGCTCCAATCCCAATTCTTCCAGATCTTTCCCTTCAAACAATAATAGCAGTAGCAATAACAATAATTACTACAGTAGCAGTAACTCAAAAGCGGCAAAAGCAGCAGAGAAACCGAAGAAAGTGCCAAGAAGTAGACCGAAGCTCACCCCCGAGCTTCTTCTTGGAGAAGATAATGGGCTTGGCTTTATTCTTCGCCACTTTCCTCGCAACTTTAAGTATCGCGGCCGTGGGCACGAGGTTCCATTTTCAATTTTAGGAACCTTGATCAATTTTAAGAAGCATCATTAAAAAAAAAAATTATTTTCATATTTTCTAGTATTTACTTTTTGTTGTCTGATGTTTATTTAACTTCATCCTCCATTTTCTGTTATTTAGGTTTAATTAGTATTTATTTTTATTTTTATTTTGTAGGTCAGTGATTTGGGAAACTTGATCGGCTTGTACAGTGAATGGCACTCTCATTTGCTCCCTTATTACTCATTTGATCAATTTGTACATAAGGTGGAGAAAGTTGCTGCCTCGAAACGTGCAAAGGTAACAAAGTTTCACCTTGAGCTTTTCTCTTCTTTTCCAAAAAAATACCTTGAGCCCAAAATGTTATATTTTTAAACCATAGCAGATGATTATCATAAGCTTATTAAGATTTAGTTATTGAATGTGGGTCTGGTTATTATACATATCATCATGTTTCAAAGGATAAATGAGTATCATTTACAAATTTTATGATTGTGAATGTAAAGGGAATGCCATTGCTTGTTAGAATATTAATTGTTCGTTAATTTTATGACAGACTCTGTTAAAATTAAGATGCTGATGCTGATGCTGAATAATGCAGGGGTTGCATCAAACCTTAAAAGCTTGTTCATATGTTATTTATTCTGAAAGTTGGTTAATCATTTGTTTGTAAATGAACTGAGTGGTTTATCATCTAAGCTGCACCCTCTCAGAAAACTGCAGAGATGTTTTCTTTTTCAGTGTATCTGCAAGTGTGCATATATGTCTACGGGTGAGAATAGAGAAAGAGAGAGAATATGAATGAAAACAATAAAGCTGGAAAATGGGAGATATGAAAGAAATTTAGGTAAAAAAGAAGTTTGTGACGAAAGTGAATTTGCATAGCACATTACATTTAAAATGCTGCTTCTCCCAGTCATCTGTCCATTTTTTTCTCTCTTCCTGTTTTGCTTACTTATTTCTTCTTTGACTCCTCCAAGAAAAGGCCATGACATAGTTTTAATCTGATTAAAGTACATTTTTGGGATGGAATCTCTAGAGACTGTCCCATTATTCAGTTTGTATTTTTTGCATGATAGTTCGATATCCATCTCTTAGTACATTTGAAGAAAATTGCCATTATTACTCAAAAGAAAAAAGACACTGGCCACTGGACTAGAGAATGCACCTTTACTATCACATCCCCATCGTCTTGAGTAAACCTCTCTCTGTGTATTTTTTTCTTCTATTGTTGTTGTTTATTGTGAATTTGTTCAATATACTGATCACAGGGAGGAGTTCACTTTGCACTTAAAGATCAAGAGTCCATCTGCTTGACAGGAGGATCAATGATGCATTAAAAGTGTGTTAAAAAAAAAAAGTATATTGGGCCACTTCTGATAGTTGAATCTTTTTGAGTCTTCTGCTGCTTTCTTGTTGGCCCTAAATAATACCACAGTCACCACACTGCATCTTGAATTACTATCTACTCTTACAGTTTGTGCTTGTTATCTAAAGATCTATAACTAAGCCAATGATTTAAATGCTGTTTCTTTCCTGAAGCTGGATTATATGGATCTTTCATTTTAAAGTTGGAGATCATACTATATACAATATAAAGAAATTCGATATGGTTGTAAGTTGTACGTATGACTTAATATAAACTAGTTCTTTTGTGGGACTGTAGCTCAAACTTTATACTAGAGGCCTTTCTTTTGGTACAACAACACCCCGCCGCCGCCGCCGCCACCCCCCCCCCCCCCCCCCCAAAAAGAAAAAAAAAGCCTATTAGGAGATCCTGTATTTCTGATGATTTGCCTTTGCGAAAGGTGTTGGGCAGCAGGACATACAAAGCGCAAATATATATGCACATAGACAGCTGTCATGAATCTTCCCATATTAATTTTTTTTCCCACTATTTTTGAGCAGATGTGTATTCGAGAATTGAGAGAGAGAGTTGCCAGTGGAGGGGATCCTACAAAGTTGCGTGAATCCTTAACCGAACATGTCAGTGCAAATGTTGAGCATGGTATGCTGGCTATCTTGTTGTTACAGAGGCATTTGGGTCTCACCCTTATTTTTGCATATTTATAATTTTTTTTTCCTTGAACCAAAATATACTCTATATACCTTTGAAGGAGCAAAATTTTTTTCTATTGGTATTATGGTCCCTTTGTGATGGATAACAGCATAGGTGAATGTGCAACTATTCATGCAATGAAAAAAGTAAATGAAAAGAAAAAAAACATCTTGTTGGCCTTTAGAATTGCCGTGTGGGTAAGGTTGCATTTCTGGTACATTGGAGTTGCATAACTTCCCTCTGTCATCGGCCTTTAGAAATTTCTTGATAGGTAATAACTCACTACATTGTGGCATTCAAAGTGCTGGGCGACCAGTTTTCCTGGTCCACATATAAGCAACAAGCAGTCAGAAGTATGCTCTTGAGTATTCTGGCAGAAATGGTCCTTTAAACCAGCTAGACTATTTTTGGATGCTAATTAATCCTTTCAAAAGCAAAAAAAGTGTACACTATCCAGTTATGCTCCCCTTGATATGGGCTTTTGAGAGGGAGAATTTAGTGACAGTCCTGTTGTTTAACACTAGTGCATGAAGTGACTCCTCTCAGTAGTTGAATCTGTCTCATGTTTGGACTCTTGATAGCTTGAGATTTTATCATATTATAAAGTCATTTAACATTACCTATTTGTCATGCTGCCAATTGAAGGGTTGCTGTTATGCTCTAGAGATGCATTTCATTTTCTTTTCAATCAAGTTCGGACATGATGCCAAATTTTCTGTTGGAGGTTAACCATGGTTTTTCAAGTGGATGAAGCATAGTATAGTTTATTGGAGGCTGTATAAAGTTTGCAAATTATTTGGTATGTCAAGGTTTTATACTAATTTATATTACAACTTGAGATTTAGGAGAGGGTTAGCAAACTGGCTTGATAGTTTCTTATTGAACTTAAGATCCAACTTATGTTCTTTGCACAATATCATGGCATGAAGCAGTTCATAAAATCTGCACCTGTTTCACTCTTGACTGAGCTCAAACATTGAGTATGGCTGCCAACATAAGGTGCTCTTGTTTTTATACTTTAGTGCAGCTCTCATGTCCTTGTTGAATTCTCTTAGGTCAATCATCCCCTGCTGAAGGCTTGAACACTGAGGTAACTCATGATGAGGGAGATCCACTTTCAGAGAACCATGACGCAGATGTTATGCCAGAAGACATGCTTCATGAGGTTTATGATAGGGCTACTGAAGTAAGTTTTATTTCATTCAACTTAGACTTAGTTTTTCAGAAGTTATATATTTCCTTTTTTTGCCAGTTGTAGTTCTCTTTGTTTGTCAAAATTTGTCAGAAAAGAGAAACTTGTGCAATTGATGTTTCATTTAGTGGATAGCATAATCAAATATATATATATATTTTTTCTTCTCAAACATTCATTAATTTTAATGCTGATTATTATTTTTGGTAATAACCTATGGATAAGATTACCGGAAAGATTTGTCATAAGATCCTGATTTGTTCCTGATGTTATGTGACATGGCTTGTTGGTGATGTTGAACAAAGAGGAAAGGAAGATAACCCAACAAATCCGCCAGCAGTTTTTTGAATTTACTAAAGGAAAGGAGGAATCACCTTAAAACACGTGGAAATCCATACTATGACTAATGCTTCTCTTTCTCTTGGGTGTATTTGGGTGTGCATTTCCATCTTCTAGATTCTTTTGCTAGGTTGGATTTATTGAAACAACAAAGAGGATTAAAGAGGCTTATGACATTTCTTACCTTTTTCTCTGTTACACTGGAGTTCCTACAAACTTAGATGTCTGTTTTACCTGTCAGATTTATATCTCTTCCTCCATTCTATCTTGCTTTGTGTTTGTTGTGCATGTAAATTTCTTCAACCAAGAGTCAAAGAAGTTATTAGCTTGAGAACTATGCCCGCCAACACATTCAACTTATATAAATTTTGATTTGAGTCCTGTAGCGTGGATTGTTGTCTCCTCAGGTGGTGTGGAGAATGTATGAATAACTATGCCTATATTTAATGATATTTGATGGTCACTTTAACTACAGGAACCATCTCAGACGTTGGACAGGAGGGACATGGAATTGCCAAATGAAATTAATGGATCTAGCTGCTCCAATGAAGCTTCGATGACAGAGGAACAGAAAGTTCGCATGGAAGCTAACAGATTGAAGGCACTAGAAAGAGCTGCAGCTCGGGCTCAGTCATTGCATTCAAGCTGAATCTTTGCTTCGGTCTTTTGCAAATAAAGTCCAGATGCTGTTTGATAGTGTTTTAATTGTTTCAATTTTCATAGTATCAAGGATGATAGGACTCTGTTTATTGCTATGCCTTATCCGATGGACTTACTCTTAGAAGGTTCTACTTGTTTCATAAATTGATGAAATGCTGCATATTTGATGAAAATATTCTTCCAAAAAGCATCTGTATATATATCACTTGCTGTCATGTCATATTGCTGTGCTAGTTACTGATATTGCTAAAAGCGCGCATTTTTCACAATGACAAGGTTTAGCAACTGCTAATGATGGCGGTTCGAGTCTGATTGCCATGCTTATTGGTTATCGATGTTCGTTTGTGGTTAAGCTTCATGATTGGTGGTGGCCGCTATTGACAGTTGAGGTTGCTAATCAATTTTATTTTCTTATTTTTTGGCAAATTTAGCTTAACCAACTCCTGCGTTTTGAAAGCAAAGTTAACGATCTAGAGCGCAAACTGGTATTTGGACTTGATTACAGCTGGAACCATTGCTGTTTACGGTTTGGTTTCAATTAATTGAAAAGTTGGAAATGTGGTTTGTTCTTGACATTTAAAGTTTAAACCGTATCCAAAAGCAGGTATATCTGAGGAGCAAAAGCAGCAATTGCATGTTTTGGTAGCTGATTACTTGATTAATGGGCTGGACCAATTTGGTTGTTTCAAGTAGCGAACACGGGCGAGCAGTGATTCCCTCTATAAGGAAAATAAAACAAAAAGAAAAAACATATTGTTGTGTTTGACTGTTACGTCGTTCCCCAATTTCTAGACTCCCGTTGATTTTATTTTTTTGAAAATCCCATTGAATAACTAATTTAATCATCGTTTCTTTAAAACCCAAATGGGAGCACTTTCAACCTACGAAAGGACTTCTATGGTACTTTTGGTCCAAATTTAAAATATTTTTAGCAATACAATTAATTAATTCGATGTAGATGTATATAACATCACTATATGAAATTAATGGCATGATTTCAACCTAAAACTCTCGTTAAATCAGTTCTCCTTACAAGTAAAAGGCATTACCAACATAACTAAAAAAAATTGGAGTTTTTACGGTTCACATAAAATATTAATCATTCACACACATTTTACCATTTATCACACTCGTTTTGACTATTCACAAGATTCATGGTGGCTTTTTTTTTTTTTTTTTTTTTTTTTTTTTTTTGCGATTTTGAGGCTTTCTAATGGCATTTGAGAGTTTATATTTGAGAAATGTTACACTTAGATCTCTCCTTTTATCATAATTTTTGTTTTGATTTTTAACTTTATTTGTATGATTGATTAGTTCATACATGGAGCTAGGAGAGAAAAAGTTGAAGTAAGACACACTTTAGCTATGATGATCACCCATTATGGTTTTAATGTGTTAATCTTGATAATGAGATTTTATTTATGGTGATTGATTTCAAGTCATGAAATGATAGGAAGAAGAAGATTGAGACCTCAAGATATGTTTTAATTTTTTAATTTGATTTGGTTTTTTGTGTGTTTTAAGTTTATTAAAATGAGTTTTGTTTTCATTGATTTTAACGTGTTTTGGATAAAAAAAATGATCATAAAATTGTATTGGAGAGGTAAAAAATTGAACTCTCGAAAGATCTATAGTGATTAGTCTATGACTTATGTCCAGCTCTTGGAGTCATTTAAATATAAAGACTTACAAAATCAATAGTTTGTTCAAAGGCTCTTAGAAAAGCATCACCCTCTAGTACAACTCCAGCAATCCCAGCATTGTTCACCTGCGTGCACAAGGTTCCAAAATTTTCAAGAAATTATCAGATAAACAGAAAAATCAGAGGATTATAACCCAAGAAATTCATTACTTCATACCAAGATGTCAAGTTTTCCAAATTTGGTTTTCACAAATTCAGCAAGGGAAGCAATGCTATCAGGATCAACCACATCAAGTTGATGGAAAACCACGAGATCATCAGAGATGCCAGAGTCTTTCAGCTTTTGAACAGCTTCAAGACCCCTTTTCTCATCTCTGACTGTTAACACCACCAAAATCCCGTTAGAAGCTACCCGCCTACATATTTCACATCCCATCCCCTTATTTGTTCGTGTCACACATGCATACCTGAGACAGAGATACTTTAAAGAAATCATTGTTTTCTTAACAACTCCAAAAATAAAAATAAAAATAAAAAATGAAAATGCATAATATTTACCTCTTTGTTGCATGAATGGTGGACTCTTGAGCCATGGCTGATAATATGAAGATGACTATGAAATGATTTTAAAAAGAATTAATGCAAAACTTATCGACTTTCTTAACAGATTGTACGAAACTTTAAATAGATTCTACTAGTTAGATATTCGTTTTACGCTACTATCGGATAATCATTATATACATAAGGTTAACGATTCGTATGGTATGATGAGAGTAAAATGTTTATTTATGAAAATTAATGTAAATCAAATTTATATAATAAGCCAACTTATTTTATATTTATTAACAAAATAATTTATAAAATTAGTATAAAAATTTATATTTGAATAATTAAGAGGTTCTTTCAAAATATTAATTAAATTATTTATTTAAAAATACAAATTTTAGAATATGAAAAAAATAAATAACAAATAATTGGTGCTATATGTGCATATATAATTAATTTATAAGAAAATACTATATATGTATTGTACCTAGTAAGTAAGATGGTCCGTGCATTGCTTGCGATTCGCTTATAAAAAGTAGTTTGTTTTTTTAGTTAATTCTTGTTAAAATAGAGATGTACTACAATTAATTTCAATCAATATTTTCTTATAATAATATTGTACAAAAAAATTAAATTAATCTATTTTAATTTACTCAATTTGATGAAGTTTTTCTCTAACAAAAATTTCACTTCATAAAGTTTATATTATGGATATAATATAAAACAATGTTTATAACTGAAATTTTAAATTTTGGTGCATTTATTTCCTAAATTTAAAGAGAGAAGTTTATTTTTCTAAATTCACTGAAATCTCAACCTTAAAATTGATGCTTTAAATATTAAAGAAAGGACAATTGTGACTTCAAAATTAACCTATCCAGCATGTCATTTCTAAATTTAAGATGGAAAGCTAATTTTTAAAATACAAAATCCTTATGGCTTAATTAATTTTTAAATTAAAAAAATTGCTTCTAGCATTAAGGTAATAATAAAAAAAAGATAAGTATTAAATTTATTTACTCGTAATGAATTTTGAAATTTCATTCAAATGAACTTTTCCATGGAATATTTCTAACAATGTTAAAATTTAAATTGCTCAACATTTTATACGTAAATGAAAAGTTATCTTTTTCTAATATCCAAAGGTTAATGTCTTAATAAATCAACAAAAATTTTGTTAGATTTTTCAAAAAAAATCCATTGAAATCTCATGGAATATATTGAACTGAATAAATTTAAATAAAAGCTATTATAAAATTGATTTCGATAAATTCTAATTATGTATCTATATATAATCAAATAAAACCTGTGATTTTTTTAACTAATTATTAATTTTTTTAAAAAATCGAGTTAGACTATTTTTTTAAATGATTATTATTTTTTAAAAAAATTAAGTTAAATTATCTAAAACATACTATTAGGTCTCTCTATCATCGAATTTACATATACAACTATGCTACTCTCATTTAAAAATCATAAAAATAATCAATCGTATAAATTATAATAATATATTTTAAAAAATAAAACAATCACGTTCTCAAATTTTATTTTAAAAAAAAAAAATATATATATATATATATAAATAATAAAAAATTTAATTTGATGTGAATTTTAATAAGAAATAAACAATTAAAAAAATAATAAAAATAATATAATCGGATAGATATATTCAAACTATTTTTTTTAAATATCGTATATATTCTATTACCGTCAAATTATACGTAAAATTAAAAATATATATATATTTTCACACCTAATTTCATGATAAAAAATATAAATTATTGGATTAAAAAAAAAAAGCAAACAAGGCTGCTTGTGAGCCAAGCTAGGCCTGCCTGAGCCTACTGTCAGGTTCGATTAAGCTTGCTTGCTGAAAAAAAAAAAGCTACAGTAAATAAACAATGATATCCTTGTATCTTTTATTTTTTAAAATAATCTTTATACATAGGCTAATTGGTTCTCAGGTATCCTGAATTTTTTTATCAAAAAGAGATTGGTACTCTAACTTTTAATTTTTTCGATTTGATTACCAAACTTCTTTTAAGTTAGCAATCGAGTCTAGCTTTTCCATGGACCAACATCAAGGGTAAATTTTTGCGTGTGATAATGAAATGGCCCAATAAATGAAAGGCACGTGTCCCGTTATGCCACGTGTACTGATGGCAGAGTAACTTAACGATTTCAAATTAGAAGAAAACGCGCGAAATCAAAAGCCCTAAATTCATTCTTAATCAATAAAGAGAGAGACGATTCAACTTTACAGGTAATGATGATGGCCATCCACCTGAATAGACAAATGGGTCCTCCACCAAACTCTCCATTGTCCCCATCATCTGCTGCACTGTTCTTGCAGTGGGAAACCTCTCTCATAACCCTGCCAATAAGAAACCAACAAATTCAATAAGTGTCTCAAAGTTTTTTACGTTCTAGTTTGAATATTATTTGAGATTTCATTATTGATTAATTACCTATTGGTGCTGCAGGGGCTACTCTTTTCTTACGCTGGGATTGTTGGGGATTCTTCACGGCTCTCTGCAACTGGTCAAGATAGTCTCTGCTCTCTGCTGCAACAGCCTTCATTTTTATTGTTGATCTTGTGCTTGTGGATGTAGCTAAGTGCTATGATATATTTATATATTTATGATATATTTTTAGGTTTTTGATTTAACATATATTTCAAATCATATTACTCTTATTATTTAAAATTTATTTCTTTAATTTATTATTTCTTACACAAATTCTCATGTAAATATTTTTCTTTATTTGCCTTTTTCAGGAAATTTTATTTTTTGACCAATATTTTTTATTTTTCTCTATATCTAGTTTTTGGGATAATTTTTTTTAAACAGGATTATTTTCTCTTTCTTAAAAAAAAAAAAAACAGAAAACAATATACTTTATAGGATAGATTCTTATAATCATTAAATGAGAATATTATGATTTTAAAATATATATTTAATCTAAGACTAGAAGTATATATATTGTAGATAATCTATATTAGATTTAAAAAAAAATTAATAATTAAAAGTAAATAGTGAAAAAATATCATATTGGTTGCTCTCCGTTGGAGTCTTATGCACAAGAACCTGGCATACATTATGACCTAAAAAAATAAAAAATAAAAAAATTGTTTTAAAAGAAAAATAAAATCCATATATTTTATATACTTTTTTTTATATAAACAAAATTTATTTTTGTTGTGATTTTTATTTCAGTCCATTTAACTTCAACTTCATCTTTATTTCAGTCCATTTAACTTCAGTACTTTTATTTCAGGATGCAGACTCTAAATCTATTTGGTATAGTATGGTGTATAAAAAAAATCTAAATTATTGATTTTGTTGGAAATTAATTGCACCCACACGCAAAACACTGCTATTCTCTATTTATTTTTTTTATATTCTAAAATCAAATTTTCTTCAAATAAAATAATTAAAATAATTTTTTTAAAACTAGCCAATAATATCATACCTTTTCAAAGAAGATTAAAGCTTTTTTACGTTAATATTGTTGATTATGTTGTGAATAAATGTATATAAACCTAACATAAGTATTTTAAAAAATTAATTGTCTTATGAATGTTCAATAAGAATAAAAAGATTGAATTTTCTATCAATTTTTATACAGTTTTTTAAACTAATTGTTAGTTTATTTTTACGATAAAATCTCATGAAAAAATATTAATGTTTTTTTTTTTGGATTTTTCATACTAATTAAATTATTATATTTTTTTTATTTAAGAATTCATATATAAAGAAATATAAATTATTATTTAAAAAAATGAAATTGATAGAAAAGAAAAAGAATAAATAGTTAAATACAATAATTTGTGCATTGTTTGTGACGTAGTTATAGCATCCAAATTAAAGAGACAACGACAGTGCTAATTGACACCATGGCTCACAAGATTGTTGAAAGAAATCTCGCTATTGCTTTAATTTGCCTTTTGAAACTACGTAAAGATTCACTAAATTTGATCATGATGTTAGCTCGTGCATATGCTTATAATGATTGTTTTTTTACCAACTATAAATTTTCGTAAAAATAAGTAATTTATCACTTTCAACTTAAATGGCTTTATAATTTCAGTGGTTTATTAAAACAATGCTATTCGAACTGTTAGATCTACTATAGTTTGTATATTATTATTCTATAAAAAGTTATATGAAAGGATATGTTTAATGACAAATTTTACTCATATTCTATTGTAATTTAACAATTTCAGATCAATAGTATCAAATCGTATAAAAGATTGAATAAATATGATCCAAATTATCAAATTTTCATTACGTGTAACTTGAAACTCCAAAAAGATATCGTTTTGACAATTCATTGTTAATTTTATTTTAAAAATATTTTTAACCTCCTAATCTTGAATTTTTTTGAGAAAAAAATTATTATAAAATATTAAAAATTGTATATTTTTTTAAAAACATTAACTCCTTAATTTTGATTTTTTTTTCATAAAATATTATAATCGTTTTATAAAAAAAATGTTTTTTTTATAATTTATAAAATTAAGGGAGTCAACATTTAATTATGCTCATTTTAATGTATGAGATATTTTTTAAGGTTTGAAATTGTGTATTGTTAATTATATTTTTTTACAATAACATTTTATAATTTTGTTTTTAAGTTCAAAATTAGAAAGTTAAAATATTTATAGTATTTTATAAGAAAAAAGTTAAAAAAACTTTCAAGATTAGAGAAATTAAAAATATTTTAAAAAAACATAATTAACAATCGTTTTTACATTCCAAATAAACCATTACGCATGAGGGAGATTGAAAAATTTAAACAATATTATCCAATCTTTAATATTTTAATATTCAAATTATACAATTTAATACTATAGATTAATTATCAAATCATAGTAAAATTGAGATAAAATCTATTAAACCTAAAAAGATATCAATAACTAATGCATAGTTCGTAAACATGAATATGATTTAATATATATATATAAAAAATATGATTTAATATACTAATTTTTTTACTCGTTGCTTCTTCCAATGCTCTGTTTGTCCGCAAGGTAGCATAGAAAATAAAATAAACTACGTTTTTTTTTTGGGCAGTGATAGCATACACACGTAAATAAGAAAGAAGGAATTCCATGGACCCATTCAACACTGTCGTGCGATCAACATCTTCGACCTAGATTTCAGGCAACATCGTCGGGACTGTCAAAGCAAATCATAACCTTGGCTCAAAATCTTTAATCACCTTGCTTGTCTACCAAAATTCAACGTGACAGCTTGCAAATTGCAATTAGAAAGAATTGCCATACCCGTTGGAGTTGCTCTACCATTCACCAAAACAATAAAGTAAAAAGGACAAAGAAAAAAGAAAAAGAAAAAGAAGAGCCGTTGGTACCAGTCCATTGTCTTGGGATTGCACCACCAAACCAAGACACAGTAACCTTAACGTGAACTCAACCACGTAGCGCTACCCACCTTGACTCCCATTTATTGCTGACACGTTTCGTGTTAACTCTAAATTTATTACTTCCGGAGTACAAAGCATGTCCATCCCTTTACCTTTGCCTGCCTTCAATTCCTTCACCCATTTCCTGAGACTCTTAACTGTAACTGTACGCAGAGTGAATATATAGATGTTCCTTTTCTTTTCTTCTACTACTACTACTACTCCTATTTACACATACATACATACATAAATACATGCATCATCTCTCTCTCTTGGATTATTACTACCACACCACACCATACCATTTACTTTGTGGAGTTATAATTAATAAAACAGGATACACGATAATACAGATAGATCTATATGACATCTGGGGGGTTGAGGGTTGGGCTTTCTCAGCTTAGCTAGCTCCGTAGCTGTATCATTCATTCATAATTTCGTGTTTTATTGATTTCCTAGCTGTTTCATCGCCATCACCTACCACAAAACAACTTGTGATTTATTCTTTCGCTTGAAGCAAACTTTTCTGGCTGCAAAGTTACTTGCTTTGATTCTTGAGGCAAAGCAAGCAAATGGGGTTGGTTGTTTTTTCAGTTGGGTTTTGCATTTCCATGCTGATTCACAAGAGTTGAGGAGGAGCCGAGGTAGAGGGAGTTCGCATTGGATCTCATCACCTCAAAGTCTCAACATTTACTTTAAAAAAAAGAAAGGGGCTCTGGGTTTTGAGAAGCCCAAGAAATTGAACAGAAAAAGATAACAATACATGCATTATTGTAATTTGCCTCTGTTCAATAATGCCATTTGAGAATTATATTATTAGTAGTATCAGAAATCATAGAGAGGAGAAAAGAAAAGATTTACTATTTTCTAGTCTGCAAGTTCTGAGTTCAGTTCACGTGAAGGCTAAGCTTTTATGTCCGTGAGTTTTGCAAGCAGTTCAAAGCAAAGGGTTGGAGAAACGATGCCAAATGGTCAGTCCCAGTGTCTTCCTTTGATTGAACCTCAGACTTCATTCACCAATGACGCTTTCTTTGGTCTTAAATTCCCATCTGAGTGAGTAGATGAGCTTCTATTACTGCCTGTCTGCCTGCATGTGTCTGCTTCAAAATTTTGTTTCCTAACTGTCCAGCGGTTTTAATCCAGTCAACTGAAAATGACAAATTTTTGGCGTATCTTCATTGATGGAGATGGTTTTTCCAGCTCAATTCTTCTGGTGGTATGCCATGTTAGAGTAGATCTTGAAGATTTGGTGTTTTGAAAGTGATTGTGTTGTGGTATTTCTAATTAAGAAGCGCCAAAAACAGGGACTTGAAAGTGCTTTTGGCCTTTAGGGTCTTTGAAAAGATTTTGCTACTAGGACTACTACAGGCAAGGGCGTCAAAGATTCCTTGTTTTTGGAGGTTTAATGTCCTTCGGCTCTTTTAGGAAACAATCTTTCTTTTTTTAATCAAAACCCAATCTTTCCTATCAAGAATCTCGATTAAGAGTTAAGACCATAATCTCCGAGATTCTGTTTTAATCACTAGCCCTCCACTCTACTCTAGAGTCAACTTTCAAAAAACAATCAATTCAAAGATTAAGATGGAACCTCTGGTTTCAAGGTACCCTTTTCTCTTCTCCTTGTTGTACTTTACTGCTGTTTCTCTTCTTTCTCCAGTTAGATCAGGCGATGCTGAGGCTCTTTTAACCCTCAAATCAGCCATTGATCCTTTAAACTCCCTCTTCTCATGGCAACTAGGAACCAATGCGTGCAAATGGCAAGGAGTCAAAGAATGCAAGAATGGAAGGGTCACAAAGCTTGTTGTAGAGTACCAAAACCTGAGTGGTACTCTAGATGCCAAAATCCTGAATCAATTAGACCAAATTCGAGTCTTGAGTTTCAAAGGGAACTCACTTTCAGGCCAAATTCCAAATCTTTCTGGCCTTGTCAATCTCAAATCTCTCTTCCTTAACATCAACAACTTCTCTGGTGGTTTCCCAGATTCCATTACAGGCCTACACCGCTTAAAAGTCATAGTTTTAGCTCAAAACCGAATCTCTGGTCCAATCCCTGTGTCACTCCTCAAACTCAGTCGTTTGTATGTTCTTTACTTGGAAGATAATAAGTTCACAGGTGCAATCCCTCCTTTGAACCAAACCAGTCTAAGATTCTTCAATGTGTCTAACAATCAATTCTCTGGTCAAATTCCTGTGACCCCATCATTGATTAGATTCAACACATCTTCATTCATTGGTAATCTCAACCTTTGTGGTGTACAGATTCAAAGCCCTTGCAGCAATCCAAATCCAGGGCCATCTTTAAGTCCATCTCATCCAACGTCAAAACCATCCTCCAAACGTAGCAAGATAATCAAGATTGTAGCAGCAAGTGTCGGTGGATTTGTGTTTCTTATAATTTGTGTACTTTTGGTATGCTGTTTTTGTTTCAAGAATGGCCACAAGAAAGAAGGGCCATCAACAGTAGAGGAGAGAAACAAAGGGGTTGTTGGTGTTGAAAGAGGAGGAGAAGCATCAGCAGGGGGCGGGGGCGGGGGCGCCGGCAGTGGCATGGACAGTAATAATGGTGGAAGACAAGGTGGGTTTTCATGGGAGAGTGAGGGCTTAGGGAGTTTGGTGTTCTTGGGTGCAGGGGATCAGCAGATGAGTTACAGCTTAGAGGATTTATTGAAGGCGTCAGCTGAGACTTTGGGCAGGGGTACCATAGGGAGTACATACAAAGCTGTGATGGAGTCAGGTTTCATCGTGACCGTTAAAAGGTTAAAAGATGCAAGATATCCTAGGCCAGAGGAGTTTAGGAGACACATGGACTTGCTTGGTAGGCTAAGGCATCCCAGCTTGGTCCCACTTAGAGCTTATTTCCAGGCTAAGGAGGAAAGGCTACTTGTATATGATTATTTCCCCAACGGCAGTCTGTTTTCTCTCCTCCACGGTATGTCGGTCAAATCACCAATTATTTTATTTTATATAATACTATTTTAAATTAGTAGTATACTTCTGCTCTTTGCCTTTTTTTTTTTTTTTTAGCTTCCAGTTGGCTAGTAACGTGAGTCAATTTAAGCCCCACAATTTTAGGATTCCATGCTGAATAGGTTATGGCTGGTAAGAAATGAATTCATGACCGACCACCTAATCTAAACCGAACCTACTCATAATTTACGCCCTTTTTTTAGGGTCTAGTCAAATCAAATGTCCAAACTAAAAGATTTATAAAAATTTCATTTCTTTTTTATAATTTGGATTGAGATTTGAAGTTTAATAACTAGAAGAGAACTAACTGAGTACAACGTACAATGTGAATTAAAAGCGTAAAGGATGGAGTTTTCTTTGTGTACCAAGGAATGATGAGTACTTACTACTCATGCTCGCATGGTAGAACTTGAATGAACGTCCAAGTGCTTCACTTTAGGTACGTAGTCATATGGTTTAGTTAATAGTAGTCTGCATTCAATGCTAAAAACCTCCCCATGCATTGCCCATTGATTATTTTCCCATAAGGATAAGGTAATTATAAATGCCACCAAACTAAATGGGGTAGCATGTTCCCCTCCTTCAATTCAAATATGGCATTCTTAGCTTGGCCCTCCATTATTTAGCCATAGAAACGTTGTGTTCTTATATGAGTAGCTGAGTCAGTGACACCATAGGATAATGGAGGAGTTAGGAGGCCAAAGAAAGAAAAGAAAGAAGCCAAAAATATGGACTGCTCGCGTGGCTCGTCTAAACTTCTCAGCCGTTAGATCTACTCCTAGGCAGCTGCGGGCCCTCTATTGTGTGCTCTTTGTCTCCCTGGAAAGTTGCCAGGAAAATAAGTCGCGAAAAAATGCCTTTAGTAACTTTTCTTACTACAAATTTAAACTTTTTGGAGATGATCAGATCAATCAATTACTAGCTTTGAACGGAACCGGCACGTAGTAAGATGCCTGGAGAGGGATTTGAAAAAATGATCCTATTGTTACATACTCTATAATTCAAAGGTGGGTCGGGTCACCATTCGTGTGTAAACATTAAGAGATGGAGTGGCTATGCCCTACAGTGCCAACTCTTTGAGCATTATAATGAGCGATGACCCAAATAGAATCCCAATGGTAATTTATGGGTCTAGCCTTTGAAAATAATAATGCATTGGCTGTGACTAAAAAACACCAATACTGATAGGATGAGTATTATTGGTTAAAGTTCTTATACATGTAAAAAATTATTTAAATAGATTTATTTGTTTTGTGTCTTGATCAGATAGCGATTAATTAATTTGAATTTTTAAATTTAAGATATTTTAAGAATTAAGGGGAAAAAAACACCAGTACTGATAATACTGGTGCGGTAGTAGTATCTTTTCTTTGTATCATTTTGGAGAATCTTGTAGAGTTGGGCAGATAAAGGACAAACTTTTTTTCAAAAATAACAAACAATCTCAAAAAAGCGCATGTTTTAAAAATTGACAACTAATAATAACATCATAACCTGTCTTAGTCTGGTCTCCGCATGTTAGAATGGTCCCATTCACATGTGCCGTATGTGTCTGTTTTCATCATTTTCCAGTTTCCACGTGTGTAATTATTTTTATAATACACAACAACTCTTTCTCTAACCAACCATAGCTATAAAACTAAAAAGGCTAATTATTTTTTTGTTGGTGCATTGGATTGTTGCTGTTCTGGGCCTCCTGTTTTTTCTTGTTTGGTGTGTGCTTTCCATTTGTGTCTCTTGCATGGTTACAGTGTCTTTTTCTTGCAGTTAAAAATTGGCTGTGGAATGTGGAGGCCACCAACATTCTGCCCCTGTTCTTATATGTTACATTACTACTACTACTACTACTATATATATATATATATTTTTTCCTGACAATAGTAAGACTTTGAAGCCAAATCTTACCCCTCTCCTAGAAGAGAATACCACTGAGCTAAATATACTCACTGATCATGTTACGTTATTAGCTCATGCTTCTTTTATAGATTGTGACAACGCCATTGTCCAACAATTTTTTCTTCGGAGAATTATAGAGAAAAACATCTTTAAATTTTATGATCTAGATTATAAGGTTAATACGGATGAAGGAGTGCACATTGGGATGTTTTAAGTAATGCAGTAATTGAACGAACAGATTTAAGGCCAAGTGGAAAGAGAGAGAGAAGGTTTACATTGGAGAGGAAATTTGGCTTCTGAAGTTCACATGAAAATGTAAACTTGTTTCTCTATTGAATATATCTATTCACTAGAAACTCGTCATTACTTGTGCTTTTTGTCTGTAGAAGCGAGGAAATTAGAGGAAAGGCTAATGTTCCCCACAAGCTCTTGTATTGTCCACCAAATAGTTGATGGAACAGTTTAACTTTGCAATTTAGATACATGTAGTGGACGATTTTCCTCGCAGCAAGTATATTATTTTTGTTTCATGAGTTACGTGATGTCGAACCCTAGAGAGTTTTCCCTTCAATCGGTGCTTTGAAACTGTCTTGCATCTTGCTCAAGAACCTAATAGCAATGAGCAGGTATGAGTTCTCTGGTCGAGGGTTATTGACTTAAAAACATTATCTTAGGAAGCAGAGCAGTAAATCAGCAACCATGACCTCTTATCTTGTGCTTGAATTGATTTTAAAGATTGGAGCTCAATTTTTTTGCTTGAATTTGTGTGTTTGTTCTCATCTTATCCCGTAAAAGGTTTGCTTCCTTTCCTTCCTTGCAAACCCCAGTAATTGTTGACCTACAAACTATTATGTTTTGAAATTTGCTGCCTGAATGCACATTTGGTCTTGGAAAGTTGACATCATGAGGCATGACTGGATTTGAGAACTGAAAATATTTATAGTGCTAACAAATTAGGCACAGCCAAATGTCCAAAGGTTAGACTTAGTATATTATTGGACTGGAAGCAACTACTATAGCGAATCAAGTTGGAATATTCATCAATTAAATGCTTATTTTGGTGCTAATAGAAACTCTAATGCTAAGTTATCATCTGCATTTCGAGTTGTATTCGGAGAATTCTTTTGGTATCTTGCATTAACAGTTTCTGAATTCTTTTACAGGAACTAGAACTTCAGGCGGTGGAAAACCTCTTCACTGGACTTCGTGCCTCAAAATAGCAGAGGACTTGGCAACTGGACTACTCTATATCCATCAGAACCCTGGGTTAACCCATGGAAATTTGAAATCCTCCAATGTTCTTTTAGGCCCTGAATTTGAGTCCTGCCTTACTGACTATGGTCTGACCATGTTCCGAAATCCAGACTTACTGGAGGAACCCAGTGCCACTTCTCTATTCTACAGAGCCCCTGAAATCCGAGACGTAAGAAAACCATCCACCCAACCAGCTGATGTCTACAGCTTTGGCGTACTCCTCTTGGAACTTCTAACTGGCAAGACTCCCTTCCAGGACCTTGTTCAGGAGCATGGTCCAGATATTCCTAGGTGGGTTCGATCTGTACGCGAGGAAGAGACCGAGTCTGGAGATGACCCTGCCTCAGGTAATGAGGCAGCGGAGGAGAAACTTCAGGCTCTTGTAAACATTGCAATGTCCTGTGTCTCACTCACTCCAGATAACCGGCCATCGATGAGGGATGTTTTGAAGATGATCAGAGATGCAAGAGCAGAGGCTCAAGTTTCATCTAATAGCAGTGACCATTCACCTGGAAGATGGTCAGATACCGTTCAGAGCTTGCCTAGAGAAGAACATTTAAGCATTTGAGTGGTCAGTCAACTTGGCGGCTTTAATTTGGAGAACTATGCATTCTGATTTTTTTTTTTTTCCTCAAAATGGATAATGATTCTTCGACCAGGCATTTGTAGAGTCCAATCTTGTAAAGTTTACCGCTTTTAGTCGTAATTTTTTTGGTTTAGTTAGTTTGCAACCATTGAAGTTTAAGTTGCACAATGTGCAATAGGGTGGTAATTGTCGTATTCAACTGAGCAAATTTGATTATTGTTTTCTGGGTCTTATTCCCATGGTCATGAAAGAAGAGCATTTCTACTTTTAGGTTGCAAATATGTCTGGCATAATAATGTAATCAAAGTTGCAATGTAATTGCGAATATATTAATTACTGCTTTGGATCATATTGTTTGGTTACTACTAAAAGGAATGATATCAAAATTACGTTCTGGTACATTTCTTTTCTTTTCTTTTTTTATTACATTTATGTTGTTCATTACATTTCTTCTTTTTAAACATGCCGTTAACACATTCAAAGGATTTGTATGAGAATATTTCAAGAGAAAGAAAACAATTGGCAATTCAAGACTGGTTTATTACAGTCCATATATAATAAAGAGTAACTCATTTTTTAGGAGGATTTTGTCGGAATAGACTGTAATGATTATATAAGGTTTTGTCATTAAAATGGAAAGGTGTGTAATCTCAGGTTCACTTTTTTTTTTTTTTTTGACAATTAACAATAATTTTTTAGTTAGTTTGTGTCTAAATTGAAATTAATTTTTTTCTCCAATAATCTTTTATATATAAATATATTTTCTCTAGAAGAACTTATAATAGAATTCTAGTAGCATAACTAGCTGATTGCTCGGATGATGTTGCGGATCTAGTAGAACAAAATCATTAGATTTTAAAAAAAAAATTTAATTATAATTTTTTCTAATATTTTTCATAAATTTTCTGCTTTAAAAAATAACATAAATCATTCTTCTTTATGGATTGATTTTAAAATAAAAAATTCTAAAAAATTAATCAAGAATTAAAAAAAAACTTTTAAAACATATTTTTCATAATATTGTATCCCAAAAAATAAAGTTATAATTAATGAACGAGACTTTTATAATAATTAACAAATGAAAAAAAAATCTTGTTTAATTCGATAAGAAGTTTAAGTTTTTGAAATTATCTGCAGAATACTATGGGTAGATAGAACAAAATCATTTCAAAATTTTATAATTTTTTTATTTAGTTATTACTATTTTTTTTTTTTTGTGTTTTTCATAAAATTTCTGATTAAAAAAAAACATGATTAATTCTTCTTTATTCGAGGGATTCTTAAGCAAAAATTTGTAATAATTTAAAAATAAACTATTAATTAAAAATTCAAAAACAAATACTTTAAAAATATATATATTTTATAAGAATGTATACAAAAAATAAAGTTACAATTAATGTATAGACTTGCATAAAAATTAACCGATGAAAAAATAAAATTTTATTCTTATTTAATATTGGTGAGAAGATTATTCTTTCAAACTATATGCATTTGATCTTTATATATTTATTTACAAAATAATCAATAAAATTAGCATAAAAAAAGTATATTTGAATAATTGGTTAGTTCCTTTAAAAATTTATTTTAATTATTTTATTTCAAATAAATTAGTTTTATAATGTTAAAAAATATTCATAGTAAATAATTTATATTATGTTGGAATATGTATAGTTAATGTTTAATAAAAACAATGATTCAATAGTTTTTTTATACGTTTTGACCATATTTAGTGAACTTAGATAAATTATTTGAAATACACTTTTAATCTTTTAGAATAAAATAACTATATGTTTATATATATACAACTATCATTTAAAAATTCTAAGAATTCATTATATATATTATACCAATTTATTTTTTTTAAAAAAAGAAAAACAATCATGTTTTAAAATTTTATTCTAAAATTCAAACAGAGAGAAAAATAAATTATATTTATCTGTAAATAAAATCTTATATAAAAAATATTAAATGGGTGAGAATTTTTATAAAAAATGATAAATTCAAAAATTGTAATTTAAATAATAAGAGTAACACAAGCTGAAGTGTACACACACACACACACACATGAGGGACGAAAAATAGAAAAAAGTGTTAAATTTGAATAGTAATGCCCCAAAACACGGAAAAAACCACACACAAAAATTATTTAAATTGTTATCAAATAAATAGTAATTGTATGCATATGAAGTGTCGATACTCGACGTCGGACGGGACTCCCAAAAAATTAAATCTAGATTTATTGGTTAGATTTTATTTACGAGTTCGGAGTCGCCATCTAGTATTAAGGAACTAGAAACCTAAAAGTAGCACTTGGTTCGGAGATTCAATTGTAAGGAGTTGGTTACGCTTTGAAAATATATCGATTACCTAGATCGCCCTTTCCTAAGAAAGGTACCACGTCTAGTTTAGTCATAAATTCATCTCTTAAAATATTTTATTTATGCCAAATTATTTTCTATTTTTTAAAAACTCCAATTCTTAAAGCCAAATTAATTTTTTAGTTATTGGGCATGGAATCGTATTGAAACAATTATCGGTCCCCTTCCTCGGACAACACGTCGATTTAAATATCGAATCCACTTTAAGCCTTGACACAATTGATGTGTCGGAGGACATCCCGATTATTAATTGATGCTTTTTGATATGACGGTCCCTATCAAATAGGAGATCTCGTCATGAAATGACAATTCCTACTAGAAAGAGACTTCGTTGAAAATTTTAGATATTTTTATTTTTTTAATTAATTATTTCTAATCTAACAACACATGAAAATAAGTTCACATAAACAAAATTAAAATACCAACTTTAAAGCACTGCAAAAAAGAAAAAAAAAACGAAAAGTAAAAGAAAAAAAAATCAACCTATATAAAAAGATGTTAAAATAAATTAGCTTGGACCTTAGACCCACTAACCTATACCCTATTTCTCTCATACCTCTTCTTTTCCTAATTTCGTTTCTTTTTTCATTTTGGGTTCTTCCCTTTTATGCCAGTTTGTTTTTCAGTTCTTTTTTTATATATTTTTATTTTTCTCCCTTGGGAAGCTGGACCAACTACAGCTTCTAATTTTTTTTTTTTTTTTTATATACGGAGAAAAGGGAAAGGGAGGCTAGACTAAACGCAAGTCCGTCCTCTTTCCTCCTCATTTTTTTTTTAAATCGCTAGGCCAAGGCTGAGTAGAAGCCAGCCTAGCCTTCCAATCAGTGTGGGTTGGGCTAAACCCAACCCACGCCCCAATCTTTTTATTTAGAAAAAATCAAACCTTAAGCTGGACTTCCAACCTGTAACAAGACCCAACCTCGTCTTATTTTATTTTTTTGGATCAAATGAAAACTCATCAGAATTTTTTTTCTCTTTTCATTCATGTTCCTATTTCTCTGCTTCTGTTCATTTTCTAACTCTCTCTATTTCTTGATTTCACGTTTTTTTATTTATCAAAGGCTCTCGTTTTTCTCATCTCAACAAACTAAGATTAAAGCTTGAATAACATGAAAATCAAATGACAGCAATGAACGAAATGCAAACGGGGAAAAAGAACAAAAAAACTGACCTGAAATAAATGATTGTTGTTTTATGAAGTGAATAAAGGAGAACTAAATGTCGAGCTGACTTTCAAGGGATAAGTGAGCCGATTGATCTTGATGGCTTAACTGATAACTAGAATCCTAGAATCGAAGCCCAAAATTATGAACACGAAGCATAGGTGATGGTACTGTAATGCACGGTACTCGTTAAAATATGAATGTAATAAAAATTTAATATTAAAATTATGTGAAAATAAATAAATATTTTTGAGAATGAGAAATAATTACTAGAAACTTAAAAAAATATTTAGAAGGGTTAAAATAGTTTTCCATGCTTAAAGAATATTTTAGTGATTTTTTAGTACGTGAATAGTAGTTATTGCATGAGAAAACTAATTAAAGCATGTTGTTTGTGTATGAAAAATATGGTTTTTGTTTAGAATAATTGTTAGAAGGGTGTTAGATTATTTTATATGATTTTATGAATTTTTCTACATATGGTGAATATTTCATTGAATTTTCTAAGTGTAGGAATAGTGTTTTTAGAGGTAAAAAATTTAATTAGGCACTTTAAGAGTATGAGAAAATTTTTTTAAGAGCATATAATAATCATATAGGATGTTTTAGAGTGCCTAGAAAATTTAAATTAATTTTAGTAAGTATAGGGAATATTTTTTTTATAGGAAATAGTGTAATTTTCACACTAAATAAATAAATTGAAGGCAAAAATTAGGGCTAAATATTATGAAAATTTAAATCAAACTCCCTTAATGAATTTTTGAATTTATTTTAGAAATAAATTTGATTTTTGAAAAGTATAGAATGGAATTTTAAAAGTAGGGACTAAATTGCATAAAATTAGGGACTCGATTGCATAAAATTAAAAGTCTAAGAATCCAAATTGAATTATGTGATAATGTTAAGGGTTAAAAATTAGTCCTAAAAAGTAAAAATGAAGGATTAGAAGTGATTTTTTGCATAAAAGAGGGACTTAGGAAAGAATGTGCTATGGCAAAGTCTAGAGACGTGAAGGACCAAACTTTGTCATTTTCCTCCAAAATTTGGCCGACCTAGAGTATTAATTATGTCTGATTTCCAGTAAACATTATGGATAAAAATAAGTAAGGTGGAAGGGCTAAATAAAAGGGTGAATAAATGGCTAAAAATTGGGACAAATGCAAATGAATGATCGAAAATTGAATTAAGCGTTGAGATTTTCCCACATTATGGGTAGAAATGAGGTCAATAAGTCCACAAAATTTCATATAAATAGGGGTGCTGAAGAAATAAGAAGGAGAGGAAAAATTAAAAAACACAAAAGAAACTCTTACAAAATTTTCACTTAAAAATCACCCAAAACATTTTTAATAAATTCTATCCATCTCTAATCAATGGAAGAAGCTTGAATTTTAAGTAGGAAGCCGAAACTCTCAAGGGAAAAATTCAAAGATCAAATTCA